AAGGTTAGAACCATTGAGCAGGGTTTATTTGGGGTTGAACATCAATCAATCGGTCTATTTGGGGTTTATTTAGTAGAACATCTCTTGCTTCCCACTAATTGGGTTGAACGTGGGCGGAGAGTCGAAGAGTCTTCCTTGGCAAGGCTACTTTCCTTTTTGGGGCTTTGCCCCCGATGGTCCACTTCCGTTGGCAAGAGGGCAATCCTTTTGAGAATCTGAGCATGGGAGGGTTGGGAGCCATTTGGCGGGGTAGGACGAAATTTCGAAGCGAAATGTGATTTTTATGATTTCTACTTTTTGCAGGGCCTGATGTGTTAGAAAGCTTGCGATTGCAGAGCAAGGCTAGTTGCCTCCGGGGCTTTCTTGCTACACTGAGGCTCAACCTTTTGTTTGATTCACCAATTCCGGAAATCCCGGATGGAAAGGACAAGCGGCAGCAGCCAGGTGCGCTGACGCAGTTCGGCTATTGAGAAGAGTGCGACGGATTCTAGGGCCTGCGGACCCTTATGGTGGGAAACACCGTGATTACCTCGATCATTGAGTGGCAGTGTTGATGAATGCCACGCCTATTCTCGCTTTGCAAGATCATCTTTGTGCGCCGTGGGGTTTGTGGCAGAGTAGGTTTCACAGCGAATGCACAGGGCAAGTGCGATGTTTGGGCAGCTTGCGTCCACTCGGCTCGATGTTTTTTCTCTTTCCTGTCGCGGGAACGTGCCCGACGGGCTGCCCAGAGGTCGGGCCTGCCCCTGGGCGGGGGTTCCAAGTGAGCCCTGCGCGCCCATATCAATTTACCTCTTCCTGCAAACCAGCAGGTGCGAAGATGCAAGGCAATGAGTTTCCAAAGTCGGATCGTCTCTTGAAAACAGGTCTGTTGACGGATGCGACGGATGCGAGGGATGCGAGGGATGCGACGGGATGGGGCATGTGTGGAGACAACCTGCGCATCTCCGCGAGCTTTGGGCCGTACGGCTGGTGGTTTATCATGCAACTGCGAGCTGCAGTCACTCGCGCGCATGCAAGCTCCCTGGGGCGATTTGTACTTGTTTCGACCCCGTCTGAAGGTAGGTCCTGCCTACGTAGGTTTTCTTGTGCGCCATGAGCGATGCCAAGCGGCTGAAGCGGGAGCTGCTGACCCTGCAGAACGCCGTGGCAGAGCTCTCGTTGGACCCCTTGGGCGGCTCCGTGTCCGCCTTCCGCTTCCGGGGCGAGGTGGCTCGGCACCGGCCTCGGGTTGAGGTCGCAACGCTTTGGCGCCCCGCTCTTTAATGGGTCCGATGCAAAAGGGTGGCTAGCAGGCAGCTCTGGCAATCAGTGACGCGTTTTTTTTCTCCTTCTTCTTCCTGATTCCAGGGTTCTTGAGGTGCGCGACTGAATTCTTGGGCCTGTCGCGGGGGTTGCTCATGTTTTTTTTGCTGGAGGGGCACTTTTTCCCCCTTGGCGGAGCTAAGTTGAATCCATTGAGCTGGGACTCCGCGGTTCACGACGGCGTGGAGAAGGTGCGGCCCCGGCCGCTGGGCCACTTTTTGTGCTTGGATCGCTGGGGGCCGCCCTCCTTGGAGGAGGAGAAGCGCCTTGCCATTTTTTCGGCCGAGCGTCGGGCGTTTTTTTTTTTTTTTCTCGGCGGAAAGATATCGAGTTGTTTTTTCTCCAATGGAGCAGAGGGTGTGACGTTTTGTTGGGGTTGAGTTGGATTTGCCTCAGCCCAGCCGCAAGAACTTGGATCTGCTCCACCTCTTTTTGTTTTTGGGGGGCTCCCAGGCTCCAATCTGCCAAATAAACGGCAGACCCCTCCTTCTACCCAAGCGAGTCATCTGACAATCAAGACCTGGGTAAGTGAAGGTTAGTAAGGGACAGTCCCAACCATAAATGGCTTTGGGTATCCGCCTTCTTTTCTTGAAGCATGGTTCTGGGTACCTAGAGTCTCCATGACCCTTTGAAAATGGTTGGTCATTCTTCAAAAAGGGGTCATGGACCCAATGTTGATTCGGGTCAGAAGGAGACTCCAGGCATCCTAGGTCCCTCAGTAGCGCCCTTTTTTGGGAATAGAGAAAAAAAAGGAAAAACACACACATCGGGTAATTACCAGCGTATTCTAACCTCTCAAATCTGGAGGGCCGAGTTTTTTTCCGGGGTTTGTCCGCGAGTGAGGAATGGGATGCCCTACCACGGGGAGGCGGCCCAGGTGGCCTGGGCGGCTTCGGATCCAGATCCGGCGGCGGCGGGGCCGCTGGTGCTGGAGGCCGCGCTGCCCATGGCGGGGCTCGAGGTTCGGCGCACCGCGCCCTTGGCCGAAGGGCGGGGGGGGCCGAAGGGGGGGGGGAGGTTTCGGATGTAAGTGGAGCCTCCTCCTCCCCCCCCCCCCCCTTTTTGTTTTTTTGGGGGGTTCAACTCTTCAATGGGGGCGGATCTAAGTGGAATCCATGGTTAGTCTATTTTTTTGGGGGAAATGTCGCTTTTAGGGAGGTGTCGGATCTAAGTGGAATCTTTTCCGTCTTTTTTTCTTTGGAGTGTCCCGTTTTGGGGGAGGCATGTCACTTATCGAGGGAACTGAGAAGCAAGCCTGTGATTCAAGGGGCCCCCGTTTTTTTTCTTCTTCTCCAACAAATCCCATGGGTCGCGGACAAATGGGGTTTGTTCGCTAGGACCATCACGGAGCATCCGAGTTACGAAAGCTTGGGCCCCCTTCATGTTCTGAGCCAAGAGGCCTTAGGGATTGGGTTTGGCCAACCCTCATTTTTGTTTGTTCGTTGTCCGAAGGAGTCCCTTTCTGGAGAGTGGGACTCTTCAGACTGCCAGACTGCCAGACTTGGCGCCGGTTTTGGCTTCTTCCAGGTGCGGCTGCTGGCACCGAAGGGCACGGAGTCGGCGGTGGCGAGCTTCCGAGATGAGGCCTGGCACGTGCTGAAGCCTTCTGTGGGGGAGGTGTTCTTCCCGGAAGTCGCTCCCCCATTTTTTTTTTGGGGGCGTTCTCTTTTGTTTGCCACTAACCAGGCAACAACTATTGTTTTTTGCTGGGGTCACAATTCCAGCCAAGCGTTCAGGACGGCGCATGGAAGCTAGGCCATTCCCGGCGGGTTTCTCCGATGTCCAGGTGCGGAACGTGAACGCGCTGGGCCGGATCCTGAACATGGTGCAGCATCCGAGCATCGCGCCCCCCTTCCTCACGGCGGAAACTCGGGTGGATTGCAACGGCCGGCGGGGGTTCACGCAGCGAGAGCGCGGGTGCTGGGAGGCGGTGTGGGAGGATGGAAGTGTCCAGTTCCCGGTGGCAAGGACGCAGGCAGGAGAGAAGGATGCGCGCTGCATGACTGGAGGTGATGATGATGTGTTCAGCTACGAAGTGAAGCCTGAGGATCCTCACGGCTGGGTGCCGCGCCTGATTGAAAGCCATTGTTGTCATCGGCCGAGAATTGATGGAAGCTCTAGCTCCCTCGCTCTTTCGCTCCCTCACTCCCTGACTCTTTTTTCCCCCTTCTCTCTCTCTCTCTGTTCCTCTCTCTCCCTCTCTCTCGTAAATTCAACCGTTCAGGGCCAGATGCAGCCCAAGAGACAGCTGCCAGCCAGGTCTGCGCCTACACCCCGAGCGAGGGACTCCTAGTGGGCTACGTGTGGCCCCGGGAAGACTACCCATGGGTCTCCCTGTGGTGCTCCGGACCTGCCTCCTCGCCGCGGGCGAGGCGCGAGGCTGTCTGGCTGCCCGGGCAGAGGCACCCCCCCCCCACCCGCGCCATGGACGCAGACATTCTGTTTTGCAGACTCAAGTCCAAAAAATCAGCATGAATGAAGGACAAAATGTGGCCCCATACTCCTCCCTCTTCCAATTTGCAAAGGTGGGGGAGAGGTGCGCTGCCTTGAGCGAAGGCCTTTTGTTCCCGTTGGGTTGCTTGTCCAAGCTGCAGCACATATGCTATTCGGTAGCGCTTTTTGTCGTGCCCACAGACACTGTGCAATGCATACACCAAACCCCAATCAACCCAGTAGCTAAGCCCGAAGCCAATCCACAACCTGCACAGCCCACTCTCACCAAAGCCATCGGATGTGGAGGGTTTGGAGGATATTTGCGAACCAAAAAAAAAGTCCAGGGGAAGAAGGGGGTTTTGAGGGTCCCAACAGGGCAGTACTATATATGGTTTTGGCTGGCGCACCACATGGAGGGGCTGGCATCAATGCGGCGAGGTTCGATGTTTGTGGCGCGCTTGTTTGCTTGGTGCCTACGTTCCATGAGACCTCTGCAAGAGCTCTCAGTCTCTTTCAAAAGCAGAAGTTCTGTCTACAGTGCTTGGAGGCCCCCCCACAAAAAAAAAAAAAAAAAAAAAAAACAAAAAAAAAAACAACAACAACAAAAAACACACACACACACACATAAGCATAAAAATCCTCCCCCCAAAACCCCCGGATGGGACGCACGGATCGGATCGCAGGGGCCTGGAGTTTGGCACCACGGGGCTCCACCAGCCCTTCCCCATCCTCAGCCGCCACCCGCGGATCTTCGAGCTCCCCACCTTCCAGCACTTGGACGCCCAGGAGGCTTCCGCCAGGAGCTTCTGCGCCTTCCTGCGGAAGGTGCCGCAGGAGAGAAAGCGGAACAACCCACCTCCCCCAACCCCCTCCCCCCGTCCCAAAAGAACATAAGAAAAGAACAATTAAGACATATAAACAAGCGCATAACTATTTTTCAAGTAGCAGAAATGGAAAGAAGGTCATTTTAGTAGTTGGTCCGGTTCCTACCTGGCTTGCTAGGGAGTTTAGAAGTCCCAATGTAAACACGCATCGATGGGTTTTGTTCGCTGCGCAAATGTGCGTATGTAAAGCGGCTAATGCGAAGAAAGGTTCTTTTGAGGGAACCATGAGCACCCACAGTTTATTCGGAAAGGAATAGACCCTCATTTCAAACAGACAAGTTACCTCGCTTTCTGCTCGTACTCTGTTCAGATTCTAATCAAAACTTCTTTAAAGTCTTATTTGGAATAAGGAGCCATACAAGGAGCCTTACAAGGAGCCTTCAGAGGAGCTTCATAAGGAGCTCTATTCACCTGCATGTCACCGAGTCACTGCATATAATTCCTGTATTTACAAATCTACATCAAGCTCATTGCATTTCAAACTGAGACTTATTGGATTTGGAAAAAGGAAATCATATTTAACTTCTAAATTCGATTTGCAATTCTGGTTACCATATTCCCTATTAAATTCTGCTGAATCAAAGTGCTAGCATGAAATGATGGTTGGAGATATGAATTCCCTTTTAAATTCTGATTCTGAATTGATAATCGATTGTTTCATTAGATGCTGCTCAACAGAGCTGCATCAGAGACATAATGAGGGACTTTACAAGCACCTTTTGAAGGATTTGCGCAAGGACAAGGAGCTTTCAAAAGGAGCTTTAGTGGGATCTTTTCCGCTAGCCCTACAAGGAGCTTTGTGATGAGCCTGGTGGGGGGCTTCAAAAGGAGCTTTTAAGGAACCTGACAAGTAAAGAGTTTGAAAGCCAGCTGTTGAATTCTGCGTGAAAATTAAATTCTACTTCAACCCTGTCCTTCTTGCATTCCATTCAGATTCTAGTTATACTTCAGTCAAAGTCCTACTTGGTAAGAAATCCCCTTCTCAGTCTGATCTAGACTGAGGTCGCTGACTGCGCTGGTATTGAACGCATATCGCAGCAAGGCATGTGCATATATGGTCACACCTTCAGCAAGGGAGACAATCTCAACAACAACAAAGCTGCATGAATAACGAACCAAACCAACTCCGTGTCTTGTTGGTTTTCTGTATGTTTCAGAAGGAGACAGTAACACAGCCACGCATTTGTTGTGTTTGGCAGGGATATTGCCAAAAGAAGATAAACTTGCAAAAAGTCTTTGCCTTCAGCCCCAAACTTTTTTTTTGTTTTTCTCTTCTTTTGCATTATCCCTCACAGAAACCAAGCAACTCGAGTTTGTTTTTATTTCTGTGGAAGGCCAGATGTCCACAAAACGATGTCCACAAATCAATCAAAAGCCAATTTTTCTGCTTTTTGTGAAGGATAATGTATAAAACTACAGAACGAAGGGGAAAACACATACACTCGGGGAACAAAACACAACAACCAACATCTGGGGCCGAAACCAACGATTATCATCCATATTTTTGTTGCTTTCTCGAGTTGCCCTTTTTTTGGGTTTACCATTTTTTTTACTGCTTACTATAAGATGTTTTTTTTTTTGGTTAAATGCGCTTGTCTGCTTTAGGCAGAAACAAATCGAGCTTACATGTTCACATGTCCCAAAGGCGTGACAACTGTTTCTTTTTTACACAGTAATAAATTATCGCAAACATGTATGGTTTTGGGCATGCCGGTCAGGGGCTTTGCACATACACACACTTTCATGCTTCTGCATCTTAAACATTGATCCACATGTATGTCGATACATATACATATATAGAGTTGTTTGTGCACATAAATGCACACACACACATATATATATATATACATACATGTATACACAGACACATGTACATCAGAGTGTCTGTCTCATGAATGCAGGCTCAATAGGTTCAACCGTGTGCAACACATGCAAGGCTGAAGCTTGTCTCGCTCCAAGTATCAGGCTTCGAGCCAAACAGCGCAAGTAACAGCACAACACCGCCACAAGAGGCCCCACCTCCACGACTCCACGCACGACTCTACGCACGCTCGCAAGACAAAACAACGTGCATGAGAGCTCTTGGCCGCGCATGGCACCGCCAGCAACACACACTAGCCTTGGACTCGTGTGTAGACACGTCGTTGCCGCGCCTAAGCTGAAAAGCATGTTCATCCTCGGGTAGGTGTATTTTGTTTCTTTTTGGGTTCGCATTGCCTTGTTTAGTCGCATGCTGGGGGCTGATTTGGGCTTGCGGGAGCCTTAGCGCAATCCAGAGCTGGACGGCGTATATTTGCGTTTCCTTGCTGTGGGGACTCCTTGCAGGACTTCAAGGGTGTGCACAATGTGGAGGTTTCGGGCTGCACGCTGGAGATCTTGGAGAAAGACTCGCAGAGGCGGCGGTTGGCGGTTTCGGGGGGGGGGGGGAGGGGAGCGAGCTTGAGAAGGCCAGGGGGGTTTGGCTGGGCCTCAAGACTTGATGCTCGCACCCCCTGGTGCCAAACAGCCAAACAAGGAGAGCCTTGGGACTGCTCGCTGCGAAGCGCAGGAGATTCAGCGTGACTTCTGAAGCCGAGCTCTTTCAGAAATAGCGCCGGTTAGCCCCGGGCCGGCCTGATTGCAAGACGCATCGCGTGAACATCCATTGAAGTCTGGGTATGTGTAGAAATATATATATATATATCTATACGTATACAGTATACCTGTGTGATCTTGCCTTTACACGGGCTGTGCAGCTGGGGCAAGAAAATGAGTTGAGCGTGCCGCGATTAAGCGAAAAGGCGCGGCCTGAGTTGGGATGGACCGGACCTGGGACGCTTGGGAGTCAGGGAGGGATCTGGCGGAATTGGAATCTCGGCTCAAGTCTCTGTGGTTTCAGTCCGTGTCACTCTCTCTCGCTCGGGACTCGGGAGCAAGATCCGGGTGATATCCATGGGCTGGGGGAAAAAGCTCCAGAGTTCTCCAGGCTGAGGCCAAAACTGGCTCTTCGCGTTTTTTTGCCCAACCAACGCCTCCCCCCCCCCCCCAAAACCCCCTCCGGCCGGGCCCAAAACGCTCAAGCCGGCGGGTTGTTTCGGGGCCCCAGACGGCGGCCTTTTCCGAGGTGAGGATGGCGCCCTCGCAGGTGGAGAAAGATCTCAGGCGCGGGAGAAATGGCGGAAGAAGCGGGCGGGCCGGGCGTGCGGGCGGTCCTGTGAGCCATTTTTTGGGATATCTCTTAGTCTTTTTCTTGGGGGAGCTAATTTTTTTTGGGGCTTCCCGGCCAGATCACTCATACTTTTTGGATGGGCAAAAGCAGAGGCGGGTTCCGAAAACTGGATCCAAGTTCTCGGATCCGACGTGCGCAGAGGTCTGCCCTGATGGCCAAGGAGACCGAGAGATGGCTGGACGCGGTGGCCAAGGCGGTGCGAGAAGGCGGGAGACTTCTCAGCGCGACAGCGGGGGGAAGCGGGTTTTTCCATGAGTTTGTTGCAGGGGGGTGGTTGAGCCTGCGCGTAGACCTTGGCACAAAAAATAATTCATTTAAGCGACTTCTTGCGGTGCAAGACGGGTTTGGGGGAAATGGGAGGGAAGCCATGATCCAAGCCGAGCCGAGTCGACTGAGCTTTTTGCGCTGAATGTGGAAACCTTAGGCTTTGATGGCTTTCAGATTCAGCAGGTGGTGGCTGAGGCGGGTGGCAGGGGTTGGGGCAAGGGGATGTCCCCAAACGGCCGGTCTGCGATGGTTTTCACCGGATTTTCGACCATGTCACAAGGCCTGCCAAGGGATTGCCAAGGTCACCAAGGGATTGGAATCCGTGTAGAGGCTAATGTTGACCCCGGATGAATAAACTTCTGGTTGATTTTCATTGGGGGGTGTCGCCCTTTTGGTGGGGATCCAGACGAAAGCAAACGCTCCGGACAAGCACTGGAGGGAACCCCCCCCTAATGGGACGGGTTTGTGAAAATCCTGTGCCAACAAAAAAATGCCACCGAGTCGGCTGAGGTGGTGGCCGAAGACCCGGTGGGCACCGCCCGATTCATGGAGAACACTCATCGGCCCACCCAGGCGGTGGTGGGCGGCGAAAGGGTCCCGAAAAAGCGCGCGCGCCGGGCGCGAGGAGTTTTTTTTTGGGTCGCCTGGCGGCCTCTGGACGTTGGCCTTTTTGGAACAAGGAGGTTAGCAAGAAAACCCCCTGGCAAAATCGGGCAAGAATCAGTTGGTTCATCTTCTGGTCGCGGGGGACAGCTGCCTTTGATTTGGCTTGCCATGTGAGGCCATGGCGGTGGTCTCCATGGACGAGGAGGCAGAGGAGTGGGAGCACAGCGCCAGGACCTCTGCCTGGGGATTTTTTCATTCAAAGCTTCGCCCCAAAGCGGCCAGCGGGGCCCACGTTCGACACATCTGCATTGAGTCTTGACCCGGGATTTGCCTGCAGCAGATGCCCCCTGGAACGGGACCATTGTCCTTTTAGGGACCCCCGAACGTGGGAGGATATATATATATATATATGTACACACATATATATATATACATATACGTATATCTATATATACATGCATATATATATATGTATATATATAGATACATACACACATATTTATACACATATATATATATATATATATATCTATGTTTGGGTCCTGAGCACGGAGCTGCCCGGGCTGAGGTGCACTACCACGACCGCATGATCCAGGGCGCCTTTAGCGCCATGTGGAGCACCTATCCGTCCGAGGCCTCAGCGATCGGACTCGGAGTTTGGATTTGGCTTGGAGGCTCCGTAACATAGGTGTCTATCAACTTCCCCAGGATGGGTTTCATTCCATTTACCAGGGACATCTATTTTTCCAAAAGGCCACCTATGTTCCTTGACTTGCGATCGGTGCGAGAGAGGCGGGGAATGAGGAATGAGATGACCCCAATTTAAGCCGTCCGAGAAACTGGTGGTTCTGATTTGAAGGAACTCCCGACTTGTTCATTCCTAGATTTCCTACTTCATCGCACCAGCAAGCAAAGGCGTAGCTCAAGTGAGCCAAGGCGGATTCCTCAAGAAGATCCCTGGGCGGACAACGTGCCCAAGGTGGATTGCGAAGTGGTTTGCCCAGGAGATTCTGCATGAAATAAGGCTTTCACCCATACCTAAGCGCTCCACAACCTAGAAGAGCCAAGCATACATTTCGCTGCCTACTTTTTCTTGGATCAGGCCAGCCATTTTTTATTGGGTAACCTCCCAGGGCATTGATGCACCTTGCCGCCGGGAAAGCTGAGTCGGCCGGATCGCAGGAAACGGCGTCGTCATGACCGCCACAGGCCTGGCTCTGCGCGGTGAGCCCGTGGGCCTTTGAGTGAGCAGCTGGCGCGACTGGCGGGAGGGGTTTCTCTCGTTCTTCCAGAGCCACCGACAGAGGGAATGCGAGTCAGCGGCTCGTTTTCATGGAAGAAGATGGGCATTCAAAGCTCCATGTCGTGTTGACAGCAAGTGTTTCGCTTGGAGCATGGAGCACGCTGACGTCAAGAGGGCAACTCTGACGAGTCGGACTGTGGCTCACTTGAAAAAGGTGCCTAGATGTGCGGCCACATGTGCGTGACGATCGGAGCTGTGGGTCGGCCACATGAGGTGATGGATCTGAAAGATCCGGTTGATCCAACATTGGCCGACAGCTCAACGGCATGCTTGCTTCATGTGCAGTGCACGTCTGCCGTTAGCTTCGAGTGGGCCGCGCCGGGGCCGACGGCAAACTGGGGACCGCGGACAGGCCCCAAGTTGGCCTTGCGGTTGGTGCCATGGTGCGACGGGTGAAGGAAGTGGCTGCTTCAGCGGATCGCTTGAACCAGCCCCTTGCCTGCGGGCCTGGGGCGGGGAAGACCTGGCGGGCTGTTATCAGCTCATACTGTGGATGGACGAAATCCAATTCGCACCACCTATAAAACCCTGGAAGGATCATTCCCTTGTAAATTCCAACCAAACATGGTTTCCTGTGGTTTCAAAGCGGCGCGACATGGATTTCGTCCATCCACAGAATGTCTTACCTTGTCCTTTGTTGGTGGACATGGACGTCCGAAAAATGGGGTGTCCTTTTTTGGATTTCCCTTCAGCCAGGGCAACACATCAACAAGCTACCCACCGGTTCAAAGGGAGTAGGGGGCTCTGCTATCCAGCATTCCTTTTGAACATAGATCCTCTATGAATGGAATGCTCATGGAAGGGTTGCGCTCAAAAGGTATGCTCCGGTTTTTTGGTTTCCCTTTAAGCCAGAGTCAACCACCAAAAAAACCCACAACCCGGCTCTTTGCTTTTTTCTTTGTTCGCCCTCACCCAAAAAAGACCCCCCCCTGGCCTGATAACACCTCAACCCCGACGAAAAACGATGATACAGCAACCTGGCTTTTGCTCGCGCCTTACCGAGTTTATCATGTGTTCCTTCATTGGCGGCTTGGATTGGTGAAAATGGTGTAAATGGCAAACCACTCCCTAACCGCCAAACTACCAATCCAAACCACCAATTGAAGGGCCCCTCGCCCGATAAAACCTCAACCCCTACGAAAAAAGTAAAACACATAAATCCATCCGGCTCTTATTTTTCCCGCGCCTTCCCAATTACGAAGTTTAACACCTCAACCCCTACACACAAAAAACACACACACACACACACAAACAAACCCACATCAAACAAAAAAAACATTTGGCCCATTTTTCTTCCTGCGCCTTACTGAGTTGAGGTACCAGCTCCTGGGCGAGGCCGGCAGGGGCAGCTTCTGCCGCGTCCTGCTGGCGAGCTCCAGCGAGGGCTCGCACGCGGTGAAGAGCTTCTCCCGCACGGCGGGGGGGCCTGGAGAACTCGAGCGACCGGGTCGCACCTCCCAGCGATGAACAAATCAAACGAGCGATGACTAGAGTACAACCCAATATTTTTGGAGGAAAAAGAGTGCTGGATTCGCCCTCAGCCACGGGAAGCCTGCCCACCTTCCAACCTTAGGGTTTTGGGTGGGAGGATGGAGAAACTGGGTCGGAGTTTGGTGCCCCATAGGGGCAAAGAAATCCCGCTTGGGGGAAGCTGCCGAAACCCGGGTCCTTAATGTCGGAGTCGACATTTCCGTTTGGAAATTGTGGAGAGGTAGTGTTCTTGCTGGAGCTCAGTAGGGAATGTGGGAATGAACAAGTCAGGGGTCCCCTTCAAGTGACACTACAAGGGATGGGTTATGAGGGTCATTCCCTCATGCCCTACCTATCGCACCAGCAAGCTTTTTCGGAGACTCGCCCAGGAGCTGCAGAGGAGCCATGTGGCCAGGTTCGACGCCGAGGGCGTGCGCACCGTGCCGTTGGGGGTGAGCCTGGAGGAAGAGCTGAGGATCCTCAGCAAGCTGAGCCACCCCCATGTGATCTCCTTGCAGGAGGCCCTGGCGGGGTGTGGGGTGGTTAAGGGGGGAAGGACCACTCTTGGTTTCTGTTTCCTTCAAGCGCCACTCCTGATTTTCCTTCCTCGAAAGACACGAACCATTGCGAATACGATCAACGGATCGATAATATGTGTCTTTTTCAGGGGGCCCCTGGCATGGAGGTTTTGAAGGTCCCCCAGTAGTGCCCTTTTACACTTTCTTGGGGGAGGGTTCCCCTACGAAAATCGACAAACAGGAAAAAAGGTTGGTGCCCTTATTCTAACCTCTCTACTGGAGGAGCTATAGGAGCCCTGAGGTGATCGATGACCCGCGCCATGACTCCATCTATGTCATCCTGGAGGGCCTGCCCGGTGGTCAGCTCATGGACTGGAAGCGTGAGTGCTGTGCATATTCGGTGGCCTCTGCGGCGGCTGGGTCTTGGGGGAGTGCTGTGCAGGACTAGGATGTGATTTGGCGGTGGGTCAAAACCAATAGGATCCGCTTTTGGAGTGGGTGCACCACCCATTTAGAACCTATTTTAGTGGGGATTCGGATGTTCACTGGGGGTACGGGATTTTGACCCATGGCCATTTAAGCTTTTGAAGGTCCAGTGATGGCCTTTCTCCCTGGTTTTGCACCCTTTCACTGCCATGGCGCCCGTGGGAGGGTATTTGGGAAAATCACTTTTGTTGGGTGCCATGTTAGTCGGAGAGACAGCAGGTAAACAAAGGTGGCCACCCTTCAGAAACCACCACCAAACAAGCGATGGGTGACCTACTAGTGGCGACACATTTTTCGGGTCGTGGGACGTTTGAGCTCCAAGTCACCTCGGAGCTCGCAGGACTGCGACAGCCGTGACTCCCAGCGGGAGGTGCTGGTGTTCCAGGAGATCCTGGCGAGGTACTTCTGCAGACAGCTGGCCGAGGGGATTGAGCACATGCACAGGCAGAGTGTCATCCACAAGGAGCCTGGGGAATTGAGAGGGAAATCTCTGGCGCCAGATTTTGTTGGTTTGTGTCTGTGTTCGGGTAGGGCCCCCAACCAACCACAAAAATGGGTTCGGGGTTCGACAAGAGAAGGAGTACCCTCGGAAGAAGACGCCACTCTCTTCCTTCTCTTTCCGCATTTGAAGGCAAGAAGATTGCCCCTCCCCCCAAAAAAGAGAGAAGAAGGAAACACAAAACAGAAAAACAAACAAACAACACAAAAACCCAAAAAGAAGAGCACAAAACAACACCACCAAAACACAAAGGAACCAAGAGAGTGGAAAAGCCCAACACCACCCGGCCCATTTTTTCAGGACCTGAAGCCGGACAACCTGGTCCTCTCCAGGCCCATCCCCGCGGACCGCCGCTGCGTCCGGGTGCTGGGCCTCGCGGCCTGGCCGCAGCTCAGCGGAAGCCGAGGCTGCAGCGAGGAGCTGCCCGGAGCGGAGCTGCTGCAGCTGCTGCGGGAACATGCGCTGCAGGCGGGGGTTGCGGGCGGCATGGCGGATGGCGGGGGGCATTGGCGGGAGAAGGGAGGGCCTTTGGGCCGGGTGGTTTTTTTTTTTGCCCTTTTTTTTCGCCTCGGCAGTTTGGGCGTGGCTCGGCAGTTTGGGCGTGGCTGCTGGCTTTTTTTGGGTTGGAGCCCCCCTCCCCCCCGCCTGCCCATTTTCTTTTGGGGGGGGGGGTTCTAATGGGTGGTTTTCCCTTGGCTACCAATCAAGGGCTACCCTCGAAAACAGACGCCCTTTTGTCTTTGCGCGTTCCATTCTTTTTCCCGGAGTTCTGGCAGCTGAGCCAACACGCCGCGGCGTCGTGATCTCTGCCGCCTTTCCTTGGCCTCGGCCTTCGGCGCTCCTGGGAGGGCAAAAGGTAGGTGAAGGTCACTAAGGGACAATCCCAGCCATACATGGGTGCCTTCGTTTTCGAACAATTCCTTACATGGCTGCGGGAAGAATGTCTCTTTACGGTTCCTGGGGACCATTGCCAGGGGGTCCAACTCCTCTTTGGGGAATCGGCCCCAAACAACCATAGGAATTCTGACTCAGGTATGGGTCAAAAGCCCGTACCTGTACATCCCAATCCAACCACTCAAATAGGTTCTAGAATGGGTGGTGCACCTACCCCAAAATGGGATCCCCAAACGGTTTTGACCACCACGGCCAGGTGAAGATCGCGGACTTCAACTCCGCGGAGGAGTGCGCGCCGCCGCGCTGCCTCATCTACGACGCGCAGGGCACCCAGCACTTCACGCCCCCGGAGTGCTTCCTGGGGAGCGATCTCGGGGTGCCAGGCGACCTCGGGCGAACAAGAGTCAACATTTGTTTGGTTCGCCGTGGAAACCACCTCCTGTTAGTTTTCATGTTTTGTTGTTAAATTTCAACGGTTATTGCTGGCTGCTCCAACCTGCCCGGGGAATTCAAAAACCTGTTGGTGCCTTTTGTGTTTGGAGAGCTGTCAGACATTTTTCAGCGCCAGGGAAGCCCCGCGACATGTGGTCCCTGGGCTGCGTGCTCTTTGTGCTCCTCTTCGGGCATTGTCCCTTCTGGGCGGAGGAGAACAACCTCCTCCTGCAGTTGAACATCCTGTCGGACAAGCAGCGGCTTGCATGTCAAAAAGTGGGCAAGCAGGTCCAAGAAGCTGGGCCAAACAACGGGCCCCAAACAAAGCTGGCCGTTTTCCTTGTTTGATCTTAGACTTTAAGTCTCCCTCAAAAGGGATGGGCTCAAAAAAGGCACAAGGCCGCTTTGACCGCATTCCTGGGCTTTTCGAAGGCTTCCGCATTTTTCCCAACGCAACCTTGGCCCAAAGAGCTGGATCTGCAAACTTCCGCGTTTCTCATGCCTTGGCCCGTTCTAATCAGATGGCTGTGGCTCAAAAAGCCGGAATTCCACAGTGGAACCCCGGGAAAGAGAATCATGGGCCAAAACCTGTGGTTTGCCCCTCCTGCAGAATTTTGAGCCACAGATCTGAGGGTGGAGATGCCGACTGGAGGGCCTGAGCTGTCTGCTGCCGTGCTGCAGCTCCTCCAGTCGCTGCTGAGTGCCTCTTCTGGCCTTCGCTGGGCTGGTGAAACGGTTCGGGTGAAAATGATGGCCGTTTTTTTCCCGCTTATTTTTTTGGCCCGAAAAGGCCTAAAAAACAACAGAGAAAACCACATTTTTTGCCAAACAAGTCAAACAAAAACCCGAAAAAAGAATCAAAGAACAAAAACGGCCATGGACATTGGAGACGCATGTTGAGACGCTGACATGGGTCACCCGCAAGGGTCACGCACCTTGCAACTCAAGAGCTGATTCAGTGCTTCAAGTGCTTCGTAGCCTGACCGACAAGTGGACAGACGAAATCCTGCACCACCTAAGAAACCCCGCAGTGATGACCCCCCTACAAGTACCAACAAACAACTCCCTCCTATGGTTTCAAAGTGGTGCAGAATTTAGTCCATCCACAGTATGATGGACAATCTCCTCTCTCACAACTTTCGTTAAGTGCGAGTTCCCCTCAAGAGCGGAGGCAAAGATGCGGCAAAGCGGCCGAGCGCCGAGGGGGTGCTGCAGAGCTCATGGCTGAAGTGAGGGTCCTTGAACATCTTACTCAGCAGGCTTGGACTTATTTGTTTTTTTGCTCTCCTGCTTCGTTTGAGAAGACCTAGGCAAAAGGTATGCGTTGCGCTTTTCGTTTCTTTTTTTGGGGGGGAGGGCAGAGTTCTAAATCCAGAGAAGACTTCGTTCCAACTCCGGATCAGCATTGCAAATCAGCCGAAAGCCATACAGTAGGTACTGGCAGCGGACCTTTAGAGCCGAGAGGTGTCGTCATCTCTAGCTAGTTAGCTGCGGCGGGATCCTCCGAGATTTCACAGCCGTTTCCGTTTCCCAGCCATTCGAGTTTTGGAGGATCCCGTCCTGAACTGCCCCGACTTTTCTAGGGGTTGAGTCCTTTTCCATTCTTTTCAACCATCGTTCTTCTCGAAAAACGGATCCGTTTCCCCTGGGTTTTTGAGGGTTTCCTGAAACGATTCGGATCGCTGGGTCAAGAATGGACATGGAAGATACCCGTAGATCTTTAGCTGGCCGAAGCTGCGTTAGTCGTTGGAGCGGGCGGGCACTGCGCGGTGAAGAAAGGCCAGCGGTTGCCCGGTGATCCAAAGTCGCACAGCAGGGTTCCCGCTTTTTGAACCCAGGAGCTTCCTTTTTTGGGAAATCACCCTCCCCTGGGTTTAAGTGTTTTTGGGGGTAGTCAAAAAAGGGAACCCTGGTGCAGAGCCTTCCAGCGCAACATTTGGAGCGTCATTCTTTTCCCGTTATTCAAAAAACCATTTGGGCCTAATTGCCAGCGCTTCAACTATATTTAGTTGACCTCCGGAGGGTCACTCACGACCGGCATTCTTTGGCTTCAGCTTGTGGCGTTTGCGCGTCACATCGGGCCCTCATTCACGGAATCCGGAAAAACATGGCAAGGGACGCTCCCTGGGCTGCCGCTTCAGCCCAAAAAGAAGCCACCTGCCGCAGATGCCGCAGCCGCAGATCTCGCGCTGGTTCTCGCCGCCGAGCCTTGGTGATGGAGTCCACCCATTTGGATGCCCAACTCGCAAGTCTGGGAAGTCGACTCCGTCCCATGACTCGGACTGGGAAGTGGCTTCTTGAGTCGACCGGTGGCCAAGTGGCATGAGGAGAAGAGTTGCTTCTAGGAGCGGGGGAAAGCTTTTGGGCTTCGGCTTCGGGTCGGAGCTTTTGCATGGCGAGGGGAAGAGAAATCCAACGGTAAAAAAAAAGGCTTGCTTTTGATTCCCCGCCCGTGCTCGCGGCAGGCTCAACCAGCTCAGGCGTGCTTCCGGAAAGGCTTTGGAGGTCGTGGGCCGCAGGCCTGGGCAGACTGAGCAACGACCTCGACACAGGTTGACCCAGGATCTAAGTAGAACCCGTCCCATTAGGTGTTCCCTCCAAAAGTGGTCTGAATCCAACCACTAAAAGGGGACACCCCCCCAAGAAAGTCAACTAGGGGTTCTGCTTAATCCGGGGTTAACATCACCAATCAAAAAGATCCATGCCACGCCGCGTGCCGAGCTTCCGACTTGGCTTACACGCAATTTGAGCCACAATCAAAACCCGGGTAGATGAAGGTTAGTTAAGGGGCAGTCCCAGCCAGGAATAGTTGCGGCCGCCTTCTTAATTCTTGAAGCATGGTTCTGGGTCAACCATTTTTTTCTCCAGGTTTTGATTATGACTCATTTGTTTAGGGTTACTGTGGGTCATATTCCAAGCTCGGCTTCCACTTTGCCCGGGTCCTAGGAGCCAAAGAGGTCCAGAAAACCGCGGCCTCACCCTGACTGGCAGGCGCGGTGTTGCCATTCTTGAGTCATGGCGCAGACTTCGAGCCACTTCGTTTTGGTACAAGTTCCATGGTTCAGAACCAAAAAAATCTGATTTTTTTCCTTTTTTTTTTTTTTTTCTCCTCCTCTCTCTCCGAATGCATATTCGATCTTTGCAGTTTTCGGTTTCACCCAAGGGTCAAACTTAGTGCCCTCGGGCCATGGGAAATGTCAGCGCCCAGTGCCGGCTGAGCATCCACCCTTGCCATCCTGGCATCGCCAGCGGCTCCATCGGGGCTGAAGTCATTCATGGCAAGAGGATCAGCTGCGTGCATCGCTGCTGCGTGCACAAGTATTTGTTCCCCATGTACCTGGTGAAGGCTGGCTGGGCGTTAGAAAAAAACAAAAACCATAAAAAACAAAAAACACAACAACAATAAGAGAGCGCGCGCTTCCGGTTGGTGTGACTGTGAATGGAGCCATCCGCTCATCCGTGGCTTTTGTTTGCTTGCCATCCGGTTGCCTGGGGCGCTTCGAGGTTTTTTGGTTCGCTTGGTGGTTGCCAAGGCACTGAAAGGCTGGGACTTTTGGGTGGCTGGTTCCCAGCGCATTCGTTCTTTCTTCTTTTTTCTCAGTGAAGCTTGGCATGTCCATCCATGCGACTCATAGGTTTCAGACTTTCTGCAGATGCGGGGGCCGCCGCAGCCGCACCATGTCTTGAAAGAAGCGGGGCTGCTGCATGAGTGGCAGCCAGGACAGACCGGGACTAACTTTTCATGTTCCCCCAGGTGGCAAAGATCGAACTGAGATTGACTTGGCAACCTGCAATTGAAGTGGCACAGCCATTCTCACAGCACAGGCGGACAAATTGCAGACAAGACTCTTCATCACCTCAGATATCTGATGTTTTTCTGCGTTGCTTCAGCGACGTGTGTGTCAGACCTCAAGGGGCAAATGGTACGCCCAAGCTTTGCGCAGGAATGTTCAGCGTCTTCATTTCTCACCAGTGGCTGGGTACCAGAGCTCCGGACCCCTCTGGGCACCAACTGGCGGTGCTCCGTCAAGTGCTGCAGAGCCTCATCGACGGATCGCTGAAGGTGAGCCACAATCAAAAACCTGGGTAGATGAAGGTTAGTAAGGGACAATCCCAACCATAAATAGCTGCGGATATCCGCCTGCCTAATTCTTGAAGCATACCATTTTAGTACCGGGTTTTGATTCTGACTCAGGTTGAGAAAGATTTGACCAAGATGATCAGCATGGGCGAGCCCACCAGCTACGAGCAGATTCAAGATGGATACCTCTTTTTGGATTGGCCTCTCAGCTTGGCTCTTCACGAGTCGTGTTTTCACACCTGAGTTTCAATCCATGGTTGGCCTCCGCTGGTTTGTGGAAGAAGCAAGGAGGTTCCCGGGTAGTCAATTTTTGGATTCAAGGGAGGCAGTTCACGCCAGAAAGGCACCTCCGGCAATCCCTTTCAATCTGGACTTCTGATTCTCCAGTGGCAGTCATCTATGGCGGCCCTTTGGGGTTTGCAATGTTTTCCCGCCGTGCAACTCAGGTTTGCCATCCCGCAGATCACTGCAAGGAAGGGCGGCGTCAACGAAGACACCACCAGGTCAGATGCAGCGCTTGCTGTGCAGAGTATTCCGGCCTATGTAGAGGCCTGCGACCTGTTTCTTGGCTTGGCGTTTAATGTCGCGGAGGGCCTGACGAAGTCTGAACTAGGTTAGTGCCCTTTTACCCTTTTTTGGGGGAGGGTTCCCCTACTAAAATAGACTACATAAAAAAGGGTACCCTTATTTGGTCCTCTCTACTGGAGGAACTAGTCAAAGTTCGACTCAGGTTCATGACACGGGTGAAACCACACGCTTTCTGGGATGCTTTCTGTTCCGGTCGGGTTCACTGACTCTGACTTCTCAGTTCTCGGTTGTGTGGTCGTCACCCCGTGAGACCCAAACCGGCGGAAGTAAGCACGAAGGGGTCTGAAAAGCATGTGTCTTAGTATAAAGCTCTGCTTCCTTGCATGTGATTTCATGATCCATAAGGGGGCGGGAAGTCTGAAAATGTAGTTTGCATGTTTCGCCTCTCCGCCCCCCCCTCCCCCTCAAAAAGCTTAAGGGGTGGGACGTTTCAGGCCGCATGGTTGACAGTTTCGTTTTGTGAGAATCAGCCACCTTGACAGGTTACCGCCCGGGCAAGGGCGCCCTTTCGGCCAAGGGACGTAGGCCAGGAGCGACTGCGCCGCCGGATAGCTTTTGATGGTAAGCGGGGCCCGGTTAACTCTGGGTTTCCGCTAGCGCTGGTCACCGAGGCCACGGACTTCGTCATAACCTCTGGTGGCCTCACCGCTCAGGCAATGTGAGGAGAACGTGGAGAGGGGCCTGGGAACCACTATAACCGGCCTGACAGGTGTGCTCATGACCCGCGGCGCCGTTGGAGCTGGTCATCGCGCATGGAATGGAGACGATGCAGCAGTACATCATCAGCTGCGAACAAGATTTCCGGCGCTTGATGGATTGCCATCTTGGAGAACATCCAGGCCATGATGCTGCTCATCTTCGCCAGCCTGGGCCACACTGAGCTCAGTGGAAAGAGCGCAACTTTGAGAGGATCGCCAACGCCATGCAGATCCACCGCAGTGGACCGGGATTCAACGATGATGAAGGCAGCGGCAAGTTCTTACTTGGGAGGAGGAAGTCGTCGCCCACGTGCCACCCTTGATGCGCGAGGATTATCAAGAAGAAGATCAGCACCCATCCTGCCGGACATTGCCGAGGAGGACCTCGATTCTTCAGCCGCTGCGCCCCCGTTCCGCAAGCTGCAGCTTCGTTCGGGTTGCCTCGGAGCTGGAGTCCGGGCACTACCCCAAGCATTTCATGAGCCTCGTGTTGAGGAATACGCCATTGGAGCAGTACCGTTTCGCTTTTTTTTCTACGGGATCCAGTTATGCGAGGGATCCCGTTCTTCGTGGCTGGCGAAGTTGGAATCGACGAGCTATCCGAGGACCTTGACGCGCTCTACGACAGTGAGGTCTGCGAGGCTGAGGTGTTCTTCAAGGCCAAGCTCGCCAAGGAGATGCCGATCTGGAAGACCTCCAACCGCTGCGGCAGGTCCGTGAGCAGACCGTCATTCAGGGGAAGCCCGCCTTATACCTCGCCTGTGGACACGTGTTCACAGCCACTTGGTTTCGAGTCTCTTATGGAGCCAGAGATGGCCGATGTCAGAAAACTGCTGGAGCAGGGGAAGCTCATTATTGAGTGGACGGCTGCGTGGTTGGACATAGAGATACCGAGACGGGCATCCCCCACCAGAAGTCGAGCCCTTCCAAGGCTGCCGGTGTGATCGAGGTCATCGTCATCAGCTCGACGCCATGTACTAGCAGGCGACAGCCGAGGGGATGGCTTGAATGCACGGCCAGTTCAGCTCAAACCCGATCAGCCGGATGACCCAAAACCTCATGAACTACTAGAAGTGCCGCAACCGCCGCAGCTGGCCGCCTGTGCTGCTTGCAGCAAGAGGAGGCCCAAGCCTGTGCGACTTCCCGGCCCATTATGAGCTCAACCACGTTGTGATGCTGGACGTCGTCCCTCTGGGGCTCACGGGCAGGTTTGCCAAAATCACTGCAAGTGGACGCAAAGATTTCATAGCGGACTTTGCAGACTGCTTGAAGCTGTTTGGTGTGGGCGAGGAGCAGAGACCTGGAATGCTTGAGGCTGTTGAGGGCTTTTCATCGCTCATCGCTCATGGAGGAACCGCAACACCCGGGACTTGGCAAGAGCGGCGGGACCGTGCCCCATCGGCTCGTACTTACTTCTACAGGCAGCAGCCGCCCATCGTCAACGACAGAGGGGTGCCACGGCGTGGAGGCAGATCTTCGCTATGAGACTTCGGTCGTGCCCGCAACCGGCAAGCAGCTGAGGTTTGCCAGCAAGGACGAGCCATCTTTGACCCCAAGGAGGAGGACTGAACTACCTTCTTCAAGGGCCAGGCAAATTCCAACAGCGAGGCTGCAGCTCTACCACCAGAGCCTGAAGCTCTACCACCAGCCGAGACATAGCGCCACCACCACTGCCAGACAACAATGAGGACTTGAGCGAGCTATTCCACGCCTGCGGTTGTGCCCTCAACTTTGTACCAACACCAGCAGTGCACGAGAAAGAGCTCATCAACCCCAAGCGCTACTGATCTTCTACGCGGAGAGCGCGGCAAGGCCGATCCGAGATCAACCTGAGCAAGCTAAGCTGAGCTCCGCTGGGGACAGTTTGGCGCTGAGAAGCTCACTGAGGAGCAGATAGTCAACTTGCCCGGGGTGCGAGAATTGTGTCAACCCGGTGGGTACACGGACAAGAACGCTGAGCCGAGACTACGCGCCCTCGATTCCCACAGTCTTTACAATTCCCGTCAAGCCCAACTCCTCTCATCCACTCCAAATGGACGTATCCTTTGCCTACCATTTCAACGCTGGAGGCGGATCGCGGTACCCGTCCTCACTCCAGTACCTGATCCCGATCCTACAGAAGATGAACATGTTGAGATTGCCAGGAAAATCGACATTGTGACGGTGGGCTCTTCGTCACCGCGGTTGCAAGTTGCAAATGCTGCTTGGAACATATCGCACTGCGCTTCTCGCTCACCCTGGCCAGTGGTCCAAGACGGCAACGTATCCTACGCATATGGACCGGCGCAGGACTTCAGCCTACTTTCATGGAAGGACAGCACCTCATCAACCTTGGAGATGTTCTTCCTCTTGGTGAAGGAGGTGCAGCGGTTGTGGTAGATGACACGGACCCACTTGTGCGCGATGTCTCTTGGGCAGTCGCTCTCATTCGCTGGAGGTGCACGAGACAACAAGCCATTCAGGCCCTGATCGCGCAGCAAAAGCCAACTTCATGAAGTTTTCTGGTATCTACATGGGCATGATGAGAACCCATTGGAACGATCACGAAGGCAGCGACGCCTCTTTGTCACTCAATGATATGGAGACCGCTGTTGTGGGCAGTCGGACCTATCCGCTTGCCAGGAACGCTTGAAACTCCTCATTGGCCGACCTCTGCACAATGTGCAGGGCATCTTCGCCCACTTCAGGAGCAACTCGCAGCTCCTGAGCCAGCTGCGTCAGGTACATACAAGACTGCGAGACTCAAAAGAGTATCCAGACTCCCTTTCAGCTGCCATAGCGGCAACGCTTTGTTTTGCAGCAGGACAGACCTTGGAAATGCCAAAAATGAGCCTTTGCAGGTTTCAAATGTTTTTGCTTGCATTTTTGGAGCCCTTGCAGGTTTTGGAGCTTTGGGTTCTGAAATCATGCGCAGGCTCACACAAATGCAACCAATCCAAACCCCAAAGCTCGAAAACCTGCACAGGCTCAAAAGCTTGCAAAAATTGCAGAACCCAGATGCAATGTCAGAGGTCAGGGCTTCGTGTTTCTGAAGACTGAGAGACAGATTGCCGAGCATTTTCGTAGCAGCCTTGCGCTGCAACACTTTCAGGAAATATCTCTGTCCTGCTGAATGTTCTTGTTGGAGTTTCGAGCATCACTGGATCATGCGGGGGGGGGGGGGGGGGCATATATACATATATATATATATGTATATTTATATTTGTACTCATACATGCCATGATGAATCCGTCTTAATTTTTAAGTGGGACATTTCTTTCCATTCAGCACTGAGCCGCCGCCTGAGGTTTTTCGCACTTGTCCCAGAGCTTGTTCATATCGACACCGGCCTCGACTGCAACTATGCTGCCCGTCCGCATTAGCCTTGGCTTGCCAATCTTTTTGTACCAGCTTGTTTCCAGCAACTGCAAGAGAACACAATACTCAATGTTGAAGACCATGCTTTCTTCATCTTCCTTGTGGACTCTTTGTTTCAACCAATCTGTTGCACATGTGGTGGTGAATTTGCAATTTCCCCCTCCCAACGATTACCCTCCACTGTCTGAGTCTGACTTAAGGCCACGTGGCTGTCGCGGGGGTGGTGTCGAGCAGAGCTTTGGTGCCGCTTGCTCTCCACCCGTAAAGACACCAGTGTGGTCGTGATCTTCTCCGACCGGGAGGCCTTGTACATGTTCCCCTTGGATTCTTCCCCAGAACTAGCTCTTTTCGTCTTTTTTTTCTCCATTTTTTTTGGGCCCTTTGAATGTTTTCCACTAACCAGGCAAACCATGTATTTATTTTTTGTTGTCCGAATTCCAGCCGAGGATTGGCAGCGGAATCTGATCTCAGATGGCTTGTTCACGGTGGAGCGGGATCGGGCCGAAGTCGTGAGGCTGGGAGAGACCACCTTGCGCAACAAGATTCAGCACCTGCGCGAGTCATGGTTGTTGTTGGGAAACAGTTATTTTCTTCATTTTTGCTCAGTGTGGTTTAGTGGAATTTAAGTTTCACTTCGCACAGATTGTGGTTTAGTGCTTATTGTGGTTGAGTGGTTGGAATCCAACCACTTAACTGCTAAAGTTTGAGACTTTTTTTGCTCCCCTGACGTCAACCAAGGAGTGGGGCCCACTTTCTCACTACAGATTCTATCTGTCGTCCTTCTCCTGGTTGCTGAACCAGGACCTGGAGAAGCCAGAGAGCGACCTGCCGGGTTTCTTGCAGCGCTTCGACTTCCCCACCCTGGAGGCCGCCGTGAAGGAGGAGGGCGGCATGACCGGGACGCTGTGCGCGGTCTTCGCGGGCGACAGCGACATGCTGCGGGTGCTGGTGGAGCAGCGGGCGGATCCCAACGGAAAGGCCTTGGGACTGGAAGACCTGGGCTACTTCGACACCCAGAGCTTGCTGATGGTGGCGGCCAAGAGTTCGCAGACACCTGGCCTGGTTGGTGGGAAAAACATTTGAAACCATTTTTGGCGCACATGGTGGTTGAGTGGGTGGACATCCAAATCCACTTAGCTGCTAAAGTCTTTCAATTTTTGCTCCCCTTCCAACGTCAACCAAGGAATGCGAAGGTCTTGTCCACCTTACTGCAGCTGGGAGCCGACCCCAACTTGCACTCCAGAGCCGGTCTCACACCTGCATACCTGGCTCACGACCCAACTCACGTGCACGTCTTGCTGGAGTACAAGGCTGATTTGATGAACTGCGTGATTCCGCCATTGCTTGGCGCTGTTGGTAGGGCCTCCTCTGCAACAGTCAGGGCATTGCTGGAGAGCAGATGTGACCCGTCCGAGACCAGTCGTGACGGCTTTGCGGCCTTGCATGCCGTGCCGATGTTCGGAGGTTCGAACCCCCACGCATGTGAAACGATTCGGCTCCTCCTCTCGTTTCGAGCTGACGTCAACTCCCCGGCAGCTCCTGCAGGCAGGATGTATCGGGTATGCCTGCGGGGGCAGGTCTACACTACGATCTGGGGTCCTCACAGCAGCAACTTCCAAAGAAAGATGGCAAACTTGATGGGAGCTACACCCTTGGCCATTGCGGCCATGATGGGTGACAGAGCTGTAGTTCAAACTCTGCTGGAGAACGATGCTGATTTGGAGATCCCCAACAAGCTGGGGAAAACACCACTTGACCTGGCCAGACAGGCTGGTCACAGTCAGTTGCTCAATATTTTGCACACCTTCGCCGTGTAGCACGAAAGTTGCGCCGCGGCCCCATTTTTCTCCCACACGCTTTACCCTTGACGCGATTTCAGTGTCAAAAGTGACCGCGACGAGTACCAGCGACATGGGCATTGGGCAAGTTGAAGATAGGGTGCTTGAATGCTTCAAGCCTCAAGACGCATGGAGTGTCATGAGTTTGTCGACTGTTTGGGCATCTCGGAGATGTTCAGGTACAGCGAAGCTTTGAGCTGGTCTCCGTGTGCTTCTGACCGCACGTTGGTAAGGGAGCATCTGAGCCACAATCAAAACCCGGTAGACGAAGGTTAGTAAGGGACAATCCCAGCCACAAATGGTTGCGGCCGCCTTCTTAGTTGTTTACATGGTTCTGGGTAAACCATTTTAAAGCCGGATTTTGATTGTTGCTCGTGTGCGGACAGGCAAGCTGTTGTCAGCGTAGGGCGCCTTGAACAAGAGGAAATCATTGCAATGTGCTTGAAGCTTTTGCCAAATCCGCGCAAGGAATCGCGCAACAAAACGCGCTTCCAACACCAGACTTCGGATATACAACTCTGCGATCACGCTCTGACCTGCCTTGCCCCAGGTTTCAAAGACTACCTCACACCATTTTCCAAACACTCTCTCTCTCTCTCTCTCGCTCTTTTTCTCTCCCTCGCTCGCCCTCTCTCTCTAACTCTCTCTCTCTCTCTAGCTCTCTCTCTCTCTCTCTCATGGTGGTCTCTGCGGGATTGCTGGAAGACCCAGAGTTCTTATGGCTCGTATGTAGTTGTTAAGATGATGTTTTTCGACGGTAGCCAGGTAACAGCTGCACGGGCAGATGAAGACGGGAACGCCAAGGTCGTCATGGACGGGGCCTCAAGTCTTGATGCTTGTTTTGGGACGGGCGGAAGTGTTGTGTAGCCTTTGCAAGAGAAGGTGTCCTTTTGGTTGTTGTAACCTGTGGAATCCGGTGCTACTTTCTTGGATCCCATTTTTTTGAGGGAAACCAGATCGGGGCAGTGCGAATCTCGAGCAGTCGGACATCCTGCATATGATTTTCCTGCTTGGAGCAGGCTGGTTGGCACGTTGGCACTATGCCCGCCCAACCACTCGCGCGAACTGCAAAAACACGAAGCGCGCAAACTGGCAAACTGATGGAATTTGGATGAAACAAAGAATCAGCAAGGCAACTTGAACCACCAAACAGCCGGTGTATCCGTGGCACTGGGTGTGCTTCGCCATGCACAAACCGAAGGTTCGCAGTGGGTTTTCGCCAGGCCTTTGGTTTTGCTGGATTCCTGCGACCTGGGCTCGCATGGCCGTTGTGCTCTGTGAGGCAGTTCTCTCCGGATGCTCTTGGAGAGCTGCCCGCTTTAGGGCTTAGACGGACTTGAAGTTTCCGCAAGTCGCTTACCAAACACAAAGGCTGAAGAGGCGCATGGCACAGCCGGGCCGAGGAGGTACCGGACACCGGCCAGCCCACTTCTGTTCCGACGATCGTGCCATTCACAGGCAGCGCCCAATGGGCCGTCAGGCAGGCGGCCACACCCAAGCGGCAAGACATGTGACCTTAAGGGGATCGCTCGTATCTGATGAGGACATTGCCGTGCGGGCCCGCAGGCCAAGCAGGCCCACCAGTAGGAGAGAAGGTCGTGTCTCACTCTGGAGCCATCGCCAAAGTCTGGCGAGGAGTTCAGCGCCGGAACTTTGAGCGGAGTGGCCTGGCAGCCCGTAGGCTGGCATGTCAGACGCATCTTTCTCGCGTTTGGACTCCTTCGGTCCCCAGCCACCGCGCAGATCCCCGGGTTCCAGGCACAAAGCAGGGTTCCTTCGATTGCCCAGAAATGCCATGCGTTCCTGTTGGGTGAAAACCGCTGGGCCAGGTACGCTTGGACCGACACAGCATTGGCAAACTCGCCCCGGCACCACTTGATCGCGGACCCTGCAAGCCAAGATAACATGGGCATCCATGCGCCTGTACAAGCGCGCAGTGCCCGGAGCGGACCAGTTTCCCGCAAGGACAGGCGTACTTTGTTCACGCACGGGCACACCCACATGCGCATGCATCGTGATGCGCACGCCCGCTCATGCGTAGCTCCTGCACTAGTAGTTTCCCACATATACACACTCACGCGGTTTTAGCGCTTCCCGGCTACTCGCAAGTGGAAGTCTGTTTGTTGTGCTATGGAAAGCACAGCTGTGACGCAGTGCCAGCGGCCTGCCGGGTTCAAGCAATGATAAGCTTGGCTTTGTTCATGCGCATCCATGCTTGCGCATATGCTTGTGTCATGAAGAAGCTGGGCAATGCTTTATCCAAACAACTAAAGCACTTGCACTGACAAGTTGCTGGGGGCTCTGCTTGGGCAGTTTTTGCATTTTTTTTCTTGGTGTCCCCCTGGAATCGGACTTGGCCTCCTGTCAAGCTCCCCGAGTGAAGCGCTGGATTGTCTCGAATTGTGTTGTACTCCTACTTTCGTTCAAAAGAGCGAATCCCCTCACGCAATCAAACCAACCCAGGCAAAGATGCAGCCAAGGGACAATTCCCGCTGAACCGGCGCGGACGGATGCTTGCAAGCTGGCGAGAGCGTTCGGCAAAGAAACAGAGAACTTTGGAGCGCGATGGCGTTTTCGTTTTTCCGTGTTCGGTTGCCCAAAGTCGAAGACTCAAGACAGACAACTCATCCATGGAGTTTCTCGCTCATGAGCCAACTTCGGCTGGTTTGGGGTTGGTCAGTCGACCGAGGCCTTTAGGGAAGCGCAGAGCACAGGCTCCAAACCTTGAATGTTCGTGGGAAGGCGATTTTTCAGGAGTGCGGTGGGAGCCTTGTGACCTGTCGACGCGTCTTGCCAGTTGGTTTGGCGCCCAGGTCCTCAATCGACTTATTTTTTTGGGGGCAGCGCACATTTGAGCATAGGCGCGGAGTGTCAGGCTCCAGGGTGCCAGGGTGCCCCAGCCCGCCAGCCCGCATTTTGGGAGCGCCGTATTTCTGTTTCGCAAGGCCGCCAAGACATTCAGGTGCCACCTCCCAAGCAAAACCAAGCAAGCCAGGCGCAGGCCGCTTTGAGCTCCCGGTCCCTTGAGCCATGGAGCCCATGCCTGTTCCCGAGTGGGAAGATCCGGAGGTTCGCGCGGAAGTTCCAGCCAGGGAGCCCGATGCCGCCAGGGAAGAGCCGGTGCCAGCTGCTCCGAGGGAAGAGCGGCTCTCCACAGCTATGCCGTCCCTGGCTCCCAGGGAGGAGCTGAAGGGCGCGCTGACCAAAACGGCCGACTCCGCCCTGCCCGGAGAGCACTCCGACGCTGAGCCCCAGGAGCCCGCTGAGCTTCAGCCCCAGGAGCCCCAGGAGCCCCAGGAGTTTCAGGAGCCCGAGGCCGTCGCAGAAGCGAGGGCGAGTCCGGGCAAGGCCGACGCGAGAGGGCGGTCTGGGAAAGGGAAGGCGAAAAGCAAGCCTGGACATCGGCAGAAGTCTGTTGATGCGGCTCGGGGTACCCAAAGCGCCATGGCAGCTGAGGACCGGCTTCTTTCGTGATAGTACTTCGAGCCCCTAATTTGCCTCTTTTCTTTTTGTGATAGAGCCTTGAGTTGGTGCCCAACTCCTTTTCGGTCTCTCGGAATTCTGGTCGAAGCATTCGCAGGAGCCCGTTTTGGTTCCGCCTGCGCCGGGGGTCCGCTTCAGCCCCAGCGTCATCGGCAAGCACGAGGTCCTGCTCGACGTCGACGAGAAGGCGGGCGAGTTCCCCCAGTACCACCGCATGCCGCCGAGCCTGCCGTTCCACTTCCGCCTGGACGTGTCCGCGTTGAAGTTCTCCGCCAACGGCTTGGCTAAGGCCAAGTGGCTGCAGAAGCTGCGGGAGGAGCTGGAGAAGAACTGGCGCTACTCTAGGAAGGATCAGGAGCGGAAATCTTGCCTTGACCCGGGCCAGGGTTTGAAATGGCCGTGGGTAAACACCAATGGTATGATTTTGGGGTAGGTGCCCATGGCCAGGTTTTGAAATGGGAATTCTTAAAGCCAATCTGCCAATGGCAGTTGCCTTTCTTTCCCCAGTCTTCCGGCGATTTGTGCCCGACTCAACAATGACTAGGACCGATGAGTCGGATGCCATTCAGATTTGGTAGATGGTAGGAGATTGCAAAAGGGATGTGGTGGAACTTACTTGTCTGCGATTCTTGCTCAGAGGCCTGGGTCCGACACTCCCGAATGAAGGCATTCCGAGGCCAAATGTGACCTGACCGAGCGACAACCGCGATTGCGGTATCAACGCCCCCTCGCAGCGAGTGTGCTGTTGGTGTAGCAATGTGGCACGCCTTCAGCAGCGCGCGAGGGTGCATGCCGTGAAACGATACTGACGCATGTCTAGCCACACTGTGTAAATTGGTGCGCTTGCAGGCGCGCAACATCACCCATGCCAGACAAGCGTTCCATGCCACAGCGCTGGCGCGCAAATTATAGCTCCCCGTTCACTTCGCCATTGATCGTTTTGCGAAGTGCGGTCATTGCCATGCCTCCATCCCTGTGAACGCGAACCCGATTGCAAGAACAGGGTGTGGCTCAAAATCAAACAGGGGGGGGGCCTGTTTCCACTTACCAGGGTTCCAAAGAATGGGCACCGGCTTTTGGAGCCACAGCCAACAGATCGCCAGGAACGCGCCTGGGTCCGGGAGGGGGAGCTACCCGGAGAGGTGCGCGACATCTTGGAGAGGAACGGGAAGTGCTCGGAGCAGGTGATGGCCGCGGTCCAGCGCCGCCGCGCTGATCCCAGCTGGCAGGAGGAGCGTCCCGTGTCTACCTCAAGTTGATGCCCCCCCCAAGAGTCGTTTCGGGGTTCGGATTGATTGGGATTTCGGGAATTGGAGGTAGGCGGATGTGTTGCGCACCTCGAATTGAGGCTGGGTGGGAGTCGGTCGTTTTTTTGGAGGCCACAAGAGAGGGGCGAGCTCCGACCGTTTTCCCCAAAGACTTTGAAAGGGAAGTTCTGCACGTTGCCGTTGAAGGAAAGCGCGCCTCCCTCCACTTGAATCACAGGCAGGAATTGAACGTTTGGTACATTTTTTAGCCCAATCAAAGGTTCACCTTTTTTGCTAAGTGGGGAAGCAGGGGTCCCCATATTTCCCCTACAAAAAAGCATCACCCCATCCAAACGAAACACACTTCAATGGGAACAAAGGTGATGTTTACCGAGGTTTGAAGTTGCTGTTCCGTTCTTTTTTGGATCGAGGCGGTCGCATCTGTTTGATGTAGATTGAACCGGTCTTCGCAGCTGTTTCTGGGTTTCACCGTTTCACCTTCGGGTTCCCCCAAAGGGGGTTTCGCCATGGGAAACGTCGGCACGTGCCTTCCGAGCCTCAGTAGCGGCGATGTTACAGATGTTGCCGATGGCGTGAGCTGCGGGGTCTGCGTGCACGAGTACTTGTTCCCCATGTATCTGGTGAAGGACAGCTTGGCTCTTGCGATCTTGTTCCCTCAAAGCTTGCCAGGGGGTTGCAAAGGTGAATAGGCACCTTGTGGTTCAGCTTCTAGATTGAAGATAGGCATGTCCCAATGCGACCCCATAGGTCTCAGACTTCCTGCAGATGCGGGGGCCGCCTGAGCCACACGATGTCTTGAAAGCGAAGGGCCTGCTACATGAATGGCAGCCAGGACTGACGGAAGCTTCAGGCTTTAAGTATTACCCCCACATGGCAAAGATCGGATTGCTTTTGTAGTCGAAGTTTTGACACAATTACAGCCGAATTGCAGACAAGACTCTTCAGGACCTTGTTGATATCTCATGCTTTCATGCGTCTTTGCCGCGATTTTGCCGCGATTTGTGTTTCAGACCTGACTCGGGGAAGTTCGGGGAAGGGGGGGGTGCAGCTGGCCTCGGCGCAGGAATGTTCTGCGTCTTCATTTCCCACCAGTGGTTGGGCATCCGATTTCCAGATCCCTCCGGTCGCCAGCTGGAGGTGCTACGCAAAGTGCTGCGGCGCTTCATCGACCGATCCCTGAAGGTCGAGGCAGATATGACGAGGATGATGAGCAGGGATGAGCCCACCAGCTACGAGCAGATTCAAGATGGATACCTCTTCTTGGATTGGTCTTTTAGTTGCTTTATCCGGACATTTTCTCTGCAATGGAGTCTCTAAACTCCCGTTGTTTTCCCAAGAGTTTCAGGCAGTGGACATGGATTTTAATATTGAATTCGGCAGCAGTCATCTATAGCATACTGTGGATGGACGACATCCTGCAACACCTTACTAAGAAACCCTGGAATGATTCGATCTCCCTCCAAATGCCAACAAACAATGGTTTCCCCATGGTTTCAAAGCGGTGCAGGATTTCGTCCATCCACAGTATGTTTGATTGCGATTGCTTGGCGCCCCCAAACTTTTGTGTCTGACTGTCAGGTTCGCGATTCCACAGATCACGGCAAGGACGGACGGCATCAACGAAGACGCCACCAGGTCAGATGCAGCTCTTGCCGTGCAGAGTATTCCAGCATATGTGGAGGCGAGTGATTTGTGTCTTGGCAACTTCTGAGGTGCAGGTTTGGAGATGATTCAAGGGTTCAAAGAAGATCCATGCATCTTCATGACATACGCTGCGTTCAAGCCTCACTTGGAAGGTGCGCTTTCAAAGCATTCTTGCGATTCATCGCTTCACCAACTTGTCCTTGCCAATTTTGGATGTATGACGTGCGTTTTCTGTGGCCTGCAGGGCCTCACTATCCCTTCACTCCACCGTGCGGAAGTAAGAAGGTCAAGGAGCAATCATTTGAGACACTACGTCCGTGTTTTGGGGACAGTATTGCGACAGGTTGCAACTAAGCACATGCGCCGCTCCTTGCTTAAACTCTGATGCCTAGCTTGTGGTCGCATGTCAAGATTTGAATTTCCATTTGACCGTGAAAACTTGATATTTGACACACCCACACACACACATACACGCATATATCTTTAGACAAGTATATGTCTTGAACGTAATCAATCTGTAAGCCAGACTAGGACCTCCACTCCCGTTCAGCAGTGACCAGCCTCCCGAGGTTTTTTGCGCTTGTCCCAGAACTTACTCATGTCGACACTGGCCGCGAATGCAACTATGCCGCCCGTCTGTCTTGGGAGAGAAGTGTTGCAGCAAATTCGAGAAGGCGCAGTGTTTGACATCTGCGCTTTCTGTTTTCTGCGCGTGTCAACAAAGCCAAATGAGCTTCTTTCTATTTGGCAGCTCATTTGCATTTTCTGCCTGTGTGTTAGCCACTTTCCAAGGAAACATGGTTGTGGAGGGGATGGTGCCGGGCCGAGCTTTGGTGTCGCTTGCTCTCAAACCGCAAAGACACCAGTGTCATCGTGATCTTCTCCGATGTGGAAGCCTTATACATCTTTCCGCTGGACTGGCAGCGGAATCTGATCTCCGATGGCCTGTTTACGGTGGAGAGTGATCGGGCCGGAGTCGTGAAGCTGGGAGAGATGGCCCTGCGCAGCAAGCTTCAGCATCTCCGCGAGTGGGGGCCGCTTTCGCACTACAGGTTCTATTTGGCCAATCGGCCGAGGCTGCTGAGCCTGGAGACGGCGGAATTTGACTTGCCAGGATTCCTGCAGCACTTTGACTTCCCGAGCCTGGACGCTGCTATCAAAGAAGAAGGCGGCATGACCGGGGTGCTGTGCGCGGTCTTCGCGGGTGATTGCAACATGCTGCGTGTGCTGGTGGAGCAGCGAGCAGATGCCAACGGAAAGGCACACGGTTTGACGGACTTAGGGTACTACGACACCCAAACCTTGCTGATGGCTGCGGCGAAAAGCGCGCAGAATGCCCAGGTCTTGTCCACCCTGCTGCAGCTGCGTGCCGACCCGAATCTGCACTCCAAATCCGGGCTCACCCCCGCGTGGTTGGCCCAGGACCCTTCTCACGTTCACGTCTTGCTGGAGCACCGGGCCGATTTGCTGAGCTGCGAAATTCCGCCATTGATGGGCGCGGCCAGCAGGGCCTCCTCTGCGACTGTGAGGGCATTGCTGGAAAGCAGATGCGACCCCTCCGACGCGAGCAATGATGGCTTCGGGGTTTTGCATGCGGTACCCGTGTTTGGACGCGCAAATCCGCACGCGTCTGAAACGATCCGGCTCCTCCTGTCGTATCGAGCGGATGTCAACTCTCTGACGATCCCCAAAAAGAGGATGCTGGAGGAATGCATGCAGTGCCGGAACTCTATGTCAATTTGGGGTTCTTACAGTAGCAGCTACGCGCGAAAGATGGCCAACATGTTCGGAGCCACGCCAGTAGCGGTTGCGGCCATGATGGGAAATAAGACAGTGATCCAGACTCTGCTGGAGAACGACGCCGAGTTGGAGATATCGAACGGGCTGGGACATACACCACTTGACCTGGCCCGGCAAGAAGGTCACTGTCACTTGCTTTCTATTTTGAGCACCTTCGCCGTGTAGCACAAAGTTGCCAATGACGACATGGCGCAACCATAGCCGGGCGGAGGCAAAAAAGTCGTGATGGCAGAGCCTATAACGTCTGCAGCAAGGGCGACCCGAAGCTATGCTTCTGTTCAAGGCTCAAGACATATGGGGGAACCTCAAAATCGGGGAACCTCAAAATCGGGGAACCTCAAAATGGGGAACCTCAAAATCGGTGGAGCGTCCCTTTAAAAGCAACAACCATGTATCCAACACCCGGTTCCGAGCCTCGGGCTCCTTGGGTGGTTTTTTTTGGGTGGTTCAGTGCGGGTTTGCAGTTCACCCCACAAAACAAGTTATTCGCTTTTGGCAGACCAGAAAACGGACAGCCCAGTGGTTTGGACCAGTCAGCGTTCAGGGGCTTCGGTGGCCAAATCAGTGCCCCGCACACTGCCTGCCTCACTCCAAACTGAAGGAACGATTGCCTCAGTGTTTCTGCATGGCAAGCTCACCTGGGGGTAAAACGAGCTCACCCTGGTACAGATCCTTTACTCGTAGATCCCTTATGTCAGGTTTTTGGACATACTGCAAAGTTTGCAGAGGTGTTTTTGGAAGCCCAACTCAATGTCGGGACAGTGGTTATTTACAACCGACGTACGCGAACCAACAAATGGATCAATCCTCAGACGAAGGAAAAACAATTCGTGAATAAGCAAAGCACATGCAAATCACTAAATACGTTAGTGAATCAAAGGGTAGGGGGTCGGATAGATATCATAATGTATATGCCACTAGGTAAGCACCACATACGTGAATAAATCGAAGCGTAAATTCAGCAACAACCCAGGACACATGGGGGAGATCCCCTGGTTTCCTTTTGGTTTCCCTTTTAAAACCCACAACAAATGATGCCCTCAAAGGAAGACAGAGACAAATGGTGCCATAATCGATAACTCAGTTGTCCAAAACCGACCTTTCGACCTTTGATTTTCCCATGTCCATTTGTCCCACCAACTAACATGGAAGTGCAAAAAGGGCCCTTTCCACGAGGAAAGTAGTCTTTCTAGATGGGTCTGTGCACTTCCATGTTCGCTGGTGGGCAAACCTTCTGTTTCCATGTCCTTTGGGGATGAGATAAGCGCAGGAGAATGACCAGGGGCAGATGGAGAAGACCATGCCCATGCACGTCCTGCGCCTGGAGCGTTTGGCGAGGCGTGGGGAGGAGCTCACGCAGGAGGACGCTAAGGAGATCACGGAGGAGGAGGGAGATGCGAAGCCCAAGGGGGTGGGGGTCGAGTTTTCTTTCTTCCTATTTCTGTTTGAATTTGGTAGGCTTGGAGGAGGGTTCTTTTTTTTTTTTTTTGGGGGGGGGGCGAACCTTGTGAAAAGAATCTCATGGGTTGCTTGGTTTTTGTTTTTGTTTGGGAACGGGGTATCGAATCTCAGCGTGTGTGTGCCTGACGCCTTCCTTTGCTATGGCTTGAGCATAGCTATGGGCAGGTCCCATAGCACCCTCAAATAAGAAGCCAGCGACCGGAACTCCTAGAGAAAATTTGCCAAACACAAACCAACAACAAGGCTTTTGGGCAGAAATTTTTGTGGCCGTCTTAGATCAAGGCCACGTTCTCCAGCCGCAGGCAGGCAGGCAGGCAGGCAGGCAGGCAGGCAGGCAGGCAGGCAGGCAGGCAGGCAGGCAGGCAGGCAGGCAGGCAGGCAGGCAGGCAGGCAGGCAGGCAGGCAGGCAGGCAGGCAGGCAGGCAGGCAGGCAGGCAGGCAGGCAGGCAGGCAGGCAGGCAGGCAGGCAGGCAGGCAGGCAGGCAGGCAGGCAGGCAGGCAGGCAGGCAGGCAGGCAGGCAGGCAGGCAGGCAGGCAGGCAGGCAGGCAGGCAGGCAGGCAGGCAGGCAGGCAGGCAGGCAGGCAGGCAGGCAGGCAGGCAGGCAGGCAGGCAGGCAGGCAGGCAGGCAGGCAGGCAGGCAGGCAGGCAGGCAGGCAGGCAGGCAGGCAGGCAGGCAGGCAGGCAGGCAGGCAGGCAGGCAGGCAGGCAGGCAGGCAGGCAGGCAGGCAGGCAGGCAGGCAGGCAGGCAGGCAGGCAGGCAGGCAGGCAGGCAGGCAGGCAGGCAGGCAGGCAGGCAGGCAGGCAGGCAGGCAGGCAGGCAGGCAGGCAGGCAGGCAGGCAGGCAGGCAGGCAGGCAGGCAGGCAGGCAGGCAGGCAGGCAGGCAGGCAGGCAGGCAGGCAGGCAGGCAGGCAGGCAGGCAGGCAGGCAGGCAGGCAGGCAGGCAGGCAGGCAGGCAGGCAGGCAGGCAGGCAGGCAGGCAGGCAGGCAGGCAGGCAGGCAGGCAGGCAGGCAGGCAGGCAGGCAGGCAGGCAGGCAGGCAGGCAGGCAGGCAGGCAGGCAGGCAGCAGGCAGGCAGGCAGGCAGGCAGGCAGGCAGGCAGGCAGGCAGGCAGGCAGGCAGGCAGGCAGGCAGGCAGGCAGGCAGGCAGGCAGGCAGGCAGGCAGGCAGGCAGGCAGGCAGGCAGGCAGGCAGGCAGGCAGGCAGGCAGGCAGGCAGGCAGGCAGGCAGGCAGGCAGGCAGGCAGGCAGGCAGGCAGGCAGGCAGGCAGGCAGGCAGGCAGGCAGGCAGGCAGGCAGGCAGGCAGGCAGGCAGGCAGGCAGGCAGGCATGAAACGGACCCAAACCAACCCGAAAAATTCATCCTAAACCTACCCAAAGCTATCCTAAACTGGCCCTAGGCCAACCCTCAAACAACACCAAGCCATCCAGAAACAAACCGCAAAGCAATCCTAAACTGACCCCAAGCCAACCCTAAAGCCACGCAACCCAACTCAAGCTGAACCTAAACCAACGGTAAGCAAAATTCCAAACCAAGGACAAACCGACCCCAAACCAGCCCGAAACCAGTCCCCAACCACCAACTCTAAAATACCCCAAGCCAACCCTAGACCCACCTTCAACCCAATTCTCTACCAACCCCGAGCCAATCCCAAAATCCTAAACTCACCCAACCACCAGCCCGAGACCACGCGACCGTCCCTCCAGAGAGTTGGATCCCGACATGATGGAAACCGACCCCCCCGCATTTCCGGCGGAGAAACCCGCTAAATTAAATTCTTGCTGTTTCCCACCCATCCGGTTCCTTAGGTTTTTTGCAATTCCGGTTGGTTTAGTTTCGTGGTTAGTTTTTTTTCCATATTCAACCGCCAGAAGTGGTCGACTCGGGGATGGAAGTGGAAACAGCAAGAGCAGAAACAGCGCTTGTCAGCGCGACTTTGGGGCGAGGGGCTCTGGTGCAACATGATCTACGACTTGAGCACGGACCCCTTGCTGCAAGACATCGGCTATGCGGGGCAAAACCCCACGCAGTTCTCGGCCATGGTGTTGATCTACACTCGGCACTTGGACAAGCTGGATCTGAAGAAGGATTTGACCCAGGAGCCGTTCGACCCCGTTGGTGATGAAGCGGGGAGCCCCCACGGGTGGCGCATTCCAAAATGCGTTTGTTTTTTCTCGCCGAATCCATGGTGGGAGAATTTTAAACGCACCAGGAAACCAAGACCGCAGCTTGAGTTTGAGTCCGTGTTTCCCGATTTAGGGCAACCCATTTTGGGGTTTCCAACTCTTTTGACCACACCCAGGCTTGGAGTACTGAAAGCCACCCAACGCAGGAGCTCAGGGTGGCCCACGTGGATCACTTCGAGTACGGGCTGTGCTTCCCCATCAGGCATGGGGATATGGCTGTGGGCCCAAGCCAATGGCAATCCCATTTTGGGGTAGGTGAATTCACCACCCATTTTAGTCTATTATAGTGTGGATTGGGATGTTCACTGGGGGTACGGGATTTTGACCCAGGGCTATATGGAGATTTGGATCTTCGAGAGGTTACCTTCCCTTTGCTTCGGGCTAGGTGAAGCTTTCCCCAACATGAAGTGCTCAAAACAGACTTCGCGCATGCCAAACACTCTGGCTTTCTGAATCTGATGTTGCCCCCTCATTTTCCCTTTCCTCGTTTCCCCCCCCAGCCGGCCCGGCTGGCCGTTTTGGTCGGCAGAAAGCCCATGGAGCCAGGCCTTACCCCTCCTGCCAGCTTCCGCCGCCGCCGGACAGGGAGGAGGGTGGGTAAAAAGCAAACATGGGCCTGGCTTTTGGCTGGAGAGTGCTCCTTTTACTCCTTTTGGTGGGAAAGCCTACAAGAAGCCAAGCATTTTGGAAGGGTCCCTCCGGGGGAAAAAAAAAAAAAACAAAACAAAAGAACCGACACACCCAAATATCGCTTAAGCGTGCAAAGGTCACACTGTTACCACCCCATAGTTTCAATACATACTCGCCAGCAAAATGAGCCATGGCAGGGTGATGGCCTGGCAAGCCGTGCTCACTGGTGCCTCCTAGTCCCCAAGAGTCCACTCAGCTATATCACTATTGCTGCCTTGGGGAATGCCCGGATGAATCAACCCCCGTTTATTCATACGGGGGGTGTCCCTGAGTTTAGTGGGGACTTCGGGAAAGGTTTATTATTCCGGGGTCAACATGACAACTGTTGCTGAACAGCCGCCATGTTTGGCTTGGGAAAATCTGAAAATTGGAGCTTCTGGTGTTTCCTCTCTCGGAGGACCTCAGCTGGATCTTCGAGCGGGAGGGCAGGACCGCGGACGGTGCGGAGCTGGAGCGGCTCGTGAAGCAGGGGGATGCCATGATGACGACGCTCTTTTGGCAGTGCTTCGAGCCCCGGCGGGTTCGTTTTCAACGGAGTGGCGGCTGGGGGTGAACCTGGGTCTGGGAGGGAACCGAAAGATGGATTTCGGAGTGGCGGGTCTGGGTCTGGGTCTGGGTTGGGTTGACCAAAGATAGAATTACCCGGGTGAGGTTGGGCATGCGAATTTTGCGGTGGCGGCTTGTTTGGGTTGGGTTGGGCTCGAAGATACCTGGGTCAGGTTGGGCTGTGATTGGCTTGGATTTGGTGAACGATGGCGCATTCCCCTTTGTTTTGGTTTAATCATCCTGCCATCTTTCGCGTTGGACTCATGGAGGAGGGGGTCTTTTGCCCTCTTCTCTAAGGACGCCTTCTTCCACGCAGATTACAAGAGGCAGAGCACCACCAAACCCGCCTTCAGCCGGACCCAGCTCTTCGCCAAGCCAACTGCCAAGGACGGAAAGGGAAGCCTAACGGGACGCCGAAGGAATCCCCTCTGGGGCTTGACCATTTTTCGTGGGGAATCCACGAAGAGAAAGGGGAACCCAGGCATCGTCCCCAACAAACTCGGGAACCGAAAGCCAGGATTAAGCATAAGCTTGGATTGGGGGGTCGATCGCTTTTCAGGGACGCTCTCCCCTGCATTCTGTACCGGCTGCGTCCAGATGGCTGTGAAAGCAGCTCCCTGCAAACAAGCAAAACCGCGGAAACCACAACGCATTGGAAAAGAGCATGGTGCCCAACAGGCCCATCACAAAAGGCAACATGGCATCTTTCAAACATGCGAATGATGCTAATTTAGAGCAAGGTGGCAACTTCTCTAGCCAAGTCTATGGCCAACGGTTCAACGGCAAGAACGCCTGAAGGGCATAGTCCCAGAACCGCAACCGACCAGGTTGATTAACCCACTCTGCGTCGCAAGCATGCGCGGTAATTCTGTGTTGGGTCTTGCTGGCAGGAGGTGCCGTTAATTTATGTGTCTCTGATCCAGGACCTGACCGCCTGCGGCACGCGGCAGGAAGCCTTGCTGGCGCTTCTCTCGATCTTGCGCGCTCAGGCCTTCCAGTTCCCTTTCTGCCAGAAGGCCGAAGCAGTCGAAAGACTGTACCATTTATTCTTATTTTTTCCGGCGGGGGGGGGGGGGGGGGGGGGGGAGGGGTTCTCTTTTCTTGTTCCTCCTAGTTTTTTTTTTTTTTATAAATATTATTATTATTTATATATATATATATTTTTTAAACTGGGGCTGGGTTGCTGGGTTCGAAGCCGTTGGTCCTGGGTGCGTTCTGAACGGCAGGTCACATTCGTCGAAGCCGTGGAGCACCGAAAGAGCCAGAAGAGCTTTCCAGGCGAGGGAGTGAGGGAGTCGGGTCTTGGCGGTTTGCCCTCCGCTGAGCTTTTTTTTTTTTTGCATTTTGTCGAAGTTTAGGGGCTTAGCTTTTTGAGGTTTAGTGGGGCTTCCTTAGCTTTCAGTAATTCGTCTATGGCCCATGTGGGGTTCGGGACATGGAACTCAAGTCTTCCACAAAACCCAGAGAGCGAGCCTGAATGATCTGGCCTCCCAGCCATCCGCTTGCTTAGCTTTCTAGAGTCTTAGTTGGTTTAGTGGTTGGGTCTTCATTTAAGCCACCAAAAGTGCATCACTCTTGGCGGATCTGAGGACAACCCCGTGGCTTGCCCTAGCTGGCCTCCACAGAGAAAACCAAGCCGCCAGTCCTCCCAATGTGTTGTGTTTGTCCCCTTATTGTATCTCTTGTTAAACCCCTCAGTGGGAACGATGAACAAACTCATATCATCTGAACATGCAGGGGTTTTGTTTTAAATCCGGGGTGCACATTCGTGCAGCTCACGCAGGCGCGGGGCACTGCGACGTGCTGGCGGCGGCGGAGGTGGCCGTCCAGAGAGCGCTGAGGGAGTACACGGCGGCGATGCAGGACCTTCATCGCCGGGATCCCTTCGCGGGGACACGTGTGCCCGGGGACTGGTCGAAACAGACCTGACCACCGTCTTTGGTGCATTTTGCCAAGGGGTGTTAGGACTCAATGACTCAAGAGCTTCTTGCCAACTATAGTGGCGTTTCCATTAAGCCGCTGAATGTTAAACTTTTAGCAGTGTAGCAGAAAAGCAACCGAGTGTTGGTTTCCCTCCAGGAAACGTGAGTACCCTCTTTTGAGACGGACCCGCATGTTCCGGCTGTGTGAACGTATTGAGTGGGGGCCCTCACATGTTCGTTCTGCGTGGGTGGCGTTTCCAAGGGACCCAAAGCTATCACGTGGCAAAAAAGGAGGTGTGTGGGTGTGTGGCTGTTGGCCCAGATACCTCCCTTGCGCTCAACCCCCTTAAGGATCTGGTGTAATGCCCCGCCGGCCCTTTCTGAGCGGCGAAGGTGGCTTCCGCGAGGGGGGGCCTTTCCGCAAGCTTCTCGTGCCTTCCGCAAGTTTCAAGGGCCAGTGGAAGCTGGATACTTGAGAGCGGCATGCCGGGGTGAGGGTTTTTTTTTGGTTGAGAGCCCGGCCGTGGGTTGCCAAGACAGGGCCGTTTTGATGGGGAGCGGTCAAATAATTCCTCTGGATGTGATCGAACTTGCAGGTCTCGTGCAAGACTTGCCCCCCCCCCCCTACTAAGAGGGAACAAGCAGCTTCCGACAAGTCTCAAACTCGTTTTGGCTTGATTTGCGGCTTTCCTTGCTGCTTTCGGCAGAGAGAGGACGGGTGTCCTGGCAAAAGCTCAGCATACAGCTGGATGTCAAAGTCATGGCACTTGTGAAGACTGTTTCAACAGAGGCAAGCCCAAAAATTGGAGAACCCTTTAGCTGTTGTAAAGCGGGTGGGTGGAGTGGAGGCGAGGAGTGCAGAGGAGTGGAGAGGAGTGGAGTGGGGAGTGGGGAGTGGGGAGTGGAGCGGAGTGAATTGGAGTGTGGAGTGTGGGGAGTGGAGTAGTGGAGTGGAGTGGGGTGGGGTGGGGTGGGGTGGGGTGGGTGAGTGAGTGAGCGAGCGAGCGAGCGAGGGAGTGAGTGATTGCAGTTTGCGCAAATCCAATGTAATGTGCATGCCGCGCAAAGCAGCATGAGTAACCGATCCAGGCAGACCAGTCTCAAGTTCCGTGCCTGCCACGAAAAAGCGGCCCGACATGTGCGAAGTATTGTGCTGCGCCTGCCGCGCAACATGCACAAAGTACAGCACAGACCACTAAACTCTAAAGTACCACGCCTACCGCGCAGAACATCATCCGCGTCCGCAAAGTACGCCTGCCGCGCAAAACAGCATCGGTGTGCGCAAAGTATTGCGCTTGCCACGCAAACTATGTTTAAAGTGAGCGAGGGCAAGTGTGTGTGTGTGTGTGTATAAAGGGGTGAGTGGGAGTGAGAGTGGCTGAAAGTCAGTGAGTGTAAGTTGAGCAAGTGAGAGTAAGTATGTGAGAGTGAGAGTGGTTGCAAGTCGGGGAGTGTAAGTTGAGCAAGTGAGAGTAAGTATGTGAGAGTGAGAGTGGTTGCAAGTCAGGGAGTGTAAGTTGAATGAGAGAGAGTGAGAGGAAGGAGGAAGGAGGAGGGAGGAGGGAGGAAGGAGGAAGGAAAAAGGAGGATGTTATTGGCCATCCGGCCATCCAGGAAAACACCCAAACTAGTTTCGACACCTTCCCTGAGACTCACCAGGACGGAAACCAGGAGATGCCGCAATGGGCGGAACGGCCCATTCGTCTCCGGGAGCGAGACTTTGCAACGGCGGCAACGCCGCCCGGCAACAGCGAGGAGCAGTCACCAGTACCGTTGCTTGTGCAGCTTCCACAGCCGGGGATGGCGATGCTGCACTGCGTGGGCCTGTCCCCGCTGAAAAAAGAGGAGAGGTTTGCGCTGACGAAAGCAAAGCCAAACCCGTGGAGCTGGTTTTGCAAACCTCTGAAAAGCGGGTTCCACACTTGTCCGTCTCTTTGTTTCCTTAATACTTCAGGAAGGTCTACTTTTTTTTTTTTTTTGCGAGCCTCTGGGTCGGTCGGCGACAACAGGAGCTGGAGGAGAAGGACAATGAGTGCGACTCGGGGTCCGAGTCCTCCAAGCAAAACGAGGACGTTTTTTTTTTTTTGCCGCACCGGGCTTCGAGAGAGAACTGCCAAGGTTCGTCTCTCGGTTGCTCGGCCCCGGTTTTCTGATCGACCGGATTTGCCCTGTTGATGGTCAAGGTCCCAAAGGGTCAAGGTCCTGATTTCACCGGGTGTTTTCTGGGGCACCCGGAGCCGCAGAGGAGGAGCCGGGAGCGGAGAACGAGGAGGAGGTGGAGGCGCAGGACATGCTGCTGACGCTGGATGTCTCGAACTGGCATCCCGAGAGGGGCGACGGGGAGATCGTGGTTAGTGACATTAACATTGACGACTACGCTTCGATTCGACGCTCAGCGGGCTGGGGGGAGAGAGAGAGAGAGAGAGAGAGAGAGAGAGAGAGAGAGAGACAGAGGCAGGGACAGCGGCAGGGACAGAGACAGAGGCAGAGCGAGAGCGAGAGAGAGAGAGAGAGAGAGAGAGAGCGAGACTGATCGCTTGAGACACATGTGGTGGGTGCGGATGCTTTTCCGTCAGAAAGGTGGCTGGGTTTGCTCCTTTCTTGTTGTGGTGTGTGGGCATGTGTCCTTTTGCTTGTCTGTGTGGACCTCGTGGCTACATCTCGGGCAGAGCACCTGCGGCAATGACATAGCCACAGGGCCGAGTCATGTGTCCCTGCCAGCCACGAGGCCGCCAAATTCGCTGCTCAGGGATGCCAGGCCAACTTGTTGAGAAGGCTTGATTCTTGGGATAGGTGCAGCCACCATGGTCCGGCCACGTGGAAAAAAAGATCGAGCAACGGGCTGCCCAGTTTCAGGGGGCCGGGCGGCCGGAATTTTATCTCAAAGTGTGGCTCCAAGGGGAGGCCTTGCTGGTTGTGAAGCAGCTGGAGACCATCATGGAGAACGAGGCCAAGGACTCCGAAAGGGAACAATTTTGGACCCAAAGAGTTCTTGCGACCTGGGAAGCCCTGAAATGAACTCTTCGGCCGCGTCCGAGGGCAACACATGCCAGAGAGTTTTCCCCTCCCCTTGTCCGATGCATGAGATTGCTGCAGCGCCGGCAGCAAGTTGCGAGCACCGGTGCAGGGCCAAAAGCGTGAACATACAACGAGCTCGTGAATTGCTAGCTGGATTGTGAGCTATTGTTTGCCCAGAAGCCATCTTTGGCAGCCCGCCCAACCTTCCCACCATGGAATGGGGGCTTGTCTGGAGGTTCTTGATAATTATTCCCGCAATTTTTGTTCCGTCTAAATCCGCATTTTTCCAGTGCAGCTGAAGCAAGCAAGCAAGCAAGCAAGCAAGCAAGCAAGCAAGCAAGCAAGCAAGCAAGCAAGCAAGCAAGCAAGCAAGCAAGCAAGCAAGCAAGCAAGCAAGCAAGCAAGCAAGCAAGCAAGCAAGCAAGCAAGCAAGCAAGCAAGCAAGCAAGCAAGCAAGCAAGCAAGCAAGCAAGCAAGCAAGCAAGCAAGCAAGCAAGCAAGCAAGCAGCAAGCAAGTGACGAGAAGAGTAAGGCCGAAGCAGCTGGATGGCCTGGGGCTGAGAATCTCGAGAAGAGGCAGAACTCTCCCGGAGCTTTTGCAGAACTCTCGCAGAAGGTGTCTCCGCGTGGAAGAGCGCGTGAAAGGAAACACTTGAGGAAAAGTACTTTCGGGCCAATCGTCCTCTAGTTTCGCTTGCGTCGTCGTTGTTTGGTTTCTGTACCCGGTACTTCAGAGGCCAGCGTTGGGCTAAAACAGCGCCCCGCAGCTGAGCTGCTAGACGTGGAACTGCGCCGCAGTGTGCGAGCGACTTCGTGGACGGCGGCTGAGCCACGCCCCAACATACTAAAGAGACGCCCCAACATTCAAAAAGACACCAAGACATCTCACCCCAACATCCTGACAAGACGTCGCAACATCTTAAGCAGCTCCTCCACACTTTGCTCCAACATCTAAGATCCGAGCCAGGACTCCCAGGCATCCAAACATGTGGGAAAGCGTCGCTCCCCGGCGCCGCGCAAAGACGCACGAACATCTTGAGCCGCACAACAACATCGAGCAAAGCACTCAACTATACTTGTGACCGCGCACGGCATGCGCGCGCAAGTGCTGCGTCACTTGTGTAGAATGACTCGCTTCCTCCGCATACTGCCACGCGTTGCTTGCCGGGTTCCCCGCTTTGCGGCGCACGATGCCCTGCATATTGTGCTGCCCTGCAACCACGTACTTCTAGTCTGCGTTGATTTCCTAGACAGTGCTAGTCAGGTGGCGAGCTTACCTGGTTGCAGCTGGTAGTTTGAAAGCGCATCGCAATCATTTTGTCTTTCTGAGTTCCCATGCAACAGGCATATTCCTACCCTGGTGACAAACTCCAAATGCATAGCGGTGGGGGGTCGTCTCTTCGTGCGAACGAGCAGCAGCAAGATCGTAGCTGAGCTGCTAGATGTGGAACTGCGCCGCAGAGTGCGAGCGACTTCGTGGACGGCGGATGAGCCACGCCCCAACATACTAAAAAGCAGCTCCTCCACGCTTTGCTCCAACATCTAAGATCCGAGCCAGGACTCCCAGGCATCCAAACATGTGGGAAAGCGTCGCTCCCCGGCGCCGCGCAAAGACGCACGAACATCTTCAGCAGCACAACAACATCGAGCAGAGCACTCAACTATACTTGTGACCGTGCACGGCATGCGCGCGCAAGTGCCGCGTCGCTTGTGTGGAATGACTCGCTTCCTCCGCATACTGCCACGCGTTGCTTGCCGGGTTCCCCGCTTTGCGGCGCACGATGCCCTGCATATTGTGCTGCCCTGCAACCATGTACTTCTAGTCTGCATTGATTTCCTAGACAGTGCTAGTCAGGTGGCTAGCTTACCTGGTTGCAGCTGGTTTGAGCACAGGGCATAAAGTTTGAAAGCGCATCGCGATCATTTTTTTCTGATGCAACAGGCATATTCCTACCCTGGTGACAAACTCCACATGCATAGCGGTGGGGGGTCGTCTCTTCGTGCAAACGAGCAGCAGCAAGGTCGTAGCTGAGCTGCTAGATGTGGAATTGCGCCGCAGTGTGCGAGCGACTTCGTGGACGGCGGATGAGCGCCGGGAAGAGGTCCGTAAGAGCACCAGCAATTCCGTGCCGGGGCGCCGGATTGAGAATGCTTGCCAGACCATGGCCCGGAGTGATTGTCAGAGCGTCACCCTTTCTGACCGCGTTCATTGCGTGTCATGTGAGGAGCGCTCTTGTGCACTTGTCTGTTTGTGTATGACCCGACAACTGAAACACTCCATCAGGCGCAATCAACTGACCAGGTCGGGCATTCGCAGTCCAAAATGCGACCCGTTTTCCCGACAAAACAGGTCTGCCAGACCCGCTGTCTTTTGTAGCTCCCCCATGTGGGCGTGTTGATGTGTTTGTGTGCTCCAGTGCTTGTGGGTTTGGGTGTTCGTGTGTGGGTTTGTGTCTTTGCGTGTTTGTGTGTTTATGTTGATGTGTGTCTATGTCTACGTGTCTGCGCCGCACACTGTAGCAACAATGCTGCATGCAGGCGGGAAACACTGCAGATTCAGGTGGAAAATGTAGACAAAAACACCCACGTTCTTGGACCAACCTCCCCCCAAGCAGAAGGAATGAGGGTTTGTCATGTGGGTGAATCAGGTTTTCCTGAAATGGCTTCCCTCAACCCCCCAAATCCAACCATCGAACTCACCCAAAACTAGAATCCCCTCCAAACCACCCCCTTCCAACCCATCCCCTCCCAAACCCAACCATCCGAATCCGAGCGCCGTACCCGCGCTCCGCCTCCTCCGCTCCGAAGGATCGGCAGGAAGGGGGGAAGGACCCGGACCGCTGGAAGCGGCTGGGGCGCTTGGCCTACGGCCTCCGCGCTCTGCAGCGCGCCTCGCTGAAGCTGAAGCTGCAGCGCCTCGGCTCCCGAAGGGACGGCCGGGGCTAAGGCCGCAGGGAGGCGTTTGGAGGCAGAGGTGGCCTTTTTGGAACCTCTGAAAGGGATTCAGGAAATACCACTATTTTCTGGGCTGTTCAAAGGTAATCCGCAAGATCCTTACCTGGGGATAGGATTCCAAGAAGTCCCCTTTGTAGTGCCTTTCCTCTTGGGATTGTGGATGAGGATTGGCCCACCCTCCATTCTTGAACAGCCCAGTGTGTTGGTAAAAAAATAGATGGCGATTCCTGGCTTACCTAGTGGCTTTCATCATCTACCAGGGCCATCTATTTCCTCTAAAAGGACGCTTATGCGAAGAGGTCGCCGTTTTTTTCCTCAGTTCCAGGGAGCCCGGAACTGGAGTTTCTTGAACTCCCGGAGTTGGTGGGCTCGACAGATTTTTGGGAAGAGATAATTTGTGCGGTACTTGAAAAATTCAGACTTGTTTTGGCCAAGCAGGAAGTGAGGGAGATGTTGTTTTTTGGAAAACGCCTTGAACGAAAAGGGCAACAGGGGTCTGGACCTTAAGAGGGTACCTCTGGCTTCTGTTTATTTTTTGAGAATCAACAGGAGAATCGAACTCTAGTTGGGGCCAATTGGGCGGATATGTGTCACACAATTTGGTGCTTCACAACTCGGTCGGGGTGTGAAACTGTCGCTGTTGCACCCAAGTTTACTGAGTGGCTCCCAGCCATCCCGTTAGCCTTTTAGCTTTTTAGTGTTTAGTGGTAGTTTCCATTTGACCCACCAAAGGTTAGTCACTTTTAGCGGGGGACCTGAGGGCAGCCCAGTTTAAGCAAATGCCAGCTGGGCAGGGGGTGGGCGGGGGGGTGAAGATGAGCTGGGCAGAGAGCCTCTCTTCTTTGCGGGGGGGGTGTTGGCGGATCAACGGGCTTTGGGGGGTATTGGCCTGAATCCCTGAACCCACCTTAAGGAAACCCTAGACCAACCATAAATCCTGCGTCCCCAGCCCTAAAGCCACAACCCCTAACACCCTAAAGCAGCCCTAAATACACCCTAAACCCACCATAAGCCAGCCACAAACCCACGCTAAGCCAACCCGGAACAACCCCAAACCCATGCGCCACCATCCCAAAACCCACCCTGCAACCAAGCAAGCCCTGTACCAACCCGCAGCTCCTTTAGGGTTTAGGGTTCCAAAAAGATCCAACCCCCACGACCCACTCCAGCCACAGCTCTTTTAGGGTTTAGGGTTCAAAAAAGATGAACCCCTCGCCAAGACATCCAAAGCCCACCCTGCACCAAGCAATCCCTATACTTACCTCTTAAAAACACAACTTTTCAACTTTCTGGGGGTAACATGGTGTCTGTAAAAGATTAACTTCCCCAGGGCTTGGAGTTTTAAGGGGTAAGACAAGTTCAGGGCAAGGAACTGCTGTCTTTTCAGCAGCCCAACCAACCCCCTTCCCCGCCCGCCCTCAGGGTTCAGGCAAGTGGTCCAGCGATTGATCTACCGTCCTTCCTTTTTTATGACTTCGTGACCCACTCAAAATGCCCAAATTGTCACCCAGTTTCCCTTCACCGCGCCTCAGCTTCCCAGGCGCGTGGGCGCGGCGGTGCTGGAGACGAAGCGCCAGGTGCCCATGGAGCAGTCGCTGGTGCAGCGCGCCCGGAGGCGATGGGGCGCCAAGGGCGGCGATGAAGTCCTCGAGGAGGAGGAGGCGCGCTTTTGTTTTCTCCTTTTTTTCTCCTTCTTCTTTTTTGTCTTTCTTTTCTTCTCTTCTTCTTCTTTTCTTTTCTTCTTTTCGTTTTTGTCTTTCTTTTCTTCTTCTTTCTTTTTTTGTCTTTCTTTTCTTTTCTTTTCTTCTTTCTTTTTTGTGGTTTTTGCGTCCAACGCCCAACTTTTGGTCTACCAAGCAGGCTCGTTTTTTTTGGCGTCCAACGTCCAACTTTTTGGTCGCCAGTACTCCCGGTTTCCCTTTGGACCATGCGGGCAACTTTGAGGATGTCACATTGGAGGTCGCACAAGTCCTTGACTTCCCTCAATGGGTTTGGAAGCCTTTGGCTTCCCCGTATGGCAACCCACACGAAAGGGAGCGCAGAGCGAAAAAAAAACGAAACCCGTGTTTCAGAGCTGAAGAGTGGAGTCCGAACCAGGAGCTGGAAGGAATATGGTCATTCTTTTGACTGGGCGGAGAATTCGTGTTCACCATTTTCGATTGACTTTGTTTATCTCCCCGGCCGTTCAAGAAGAACTCCCAGTTGTGATGCCATGCTGCGAACCTGCCAACCTCGCCCGGTCTGCGGAACCGGGACGGCTTCAACCCGAGCTGTGTGGAAGAGATCAAACTTGTTGTGCGTGCGTAAAGGCGGGAGTAAGCGCTGCAGACACACAGACACACAGACACACACACACACTTGAACTCCAGATGGAGAGTGCTAATCTTTCGAGTACAACTGATGAGTTTCGAGTACAACTGATGAGTCTCGAGTATGGTGAGTTTCGACTCGCACATCACTCAGCTTCACTCTAGTTACTTGAACAGGGGCACACAAAGCAACGGCGGTTCAGGGAGGGGACCAAAAGGACCTTCAGAAACATCACTTCACAAAAGCAGGTACACGCGGATGATCAGTCCGCGCTTCCCCCATGGTGGTTAGCTTCGTTGGCACAGGTCACCACCATGGGCCTGTGCCCCCTGCTGCGAAACCGAAAGGGTGGTGACAGGGCATTCTGTCACTCCGCACACACACGCCCCTCTACGAGGGGCGAAGTTTCTCTTTTCTCCTGCTGGAAGATCAAATGCTCACACTCAATTGTCTATCGTTGACCAAAAAATCCTCCACGGCGAGGGGAGCGAGACACCGCCCTGAACCGCTCAGAAGACGGGAACGAAAGATCACCACGTTGAGCATTGCGAGTGTCGCCATAGAGGACTGAAGCGATTTGCGAAGCAGCCGGGCGATCACCTTGAGAAAACGGAGTGGCATAGGTGAATGTCTCCTCAACTGGAACGGCATCGGAGTTTCGAACTCGACCAAGCGTCTGATCATGTGGATCGCGAGTCGTGAATGACTCAATCCGAGACAAGATGCGCTGGTACCCTTGGTGTTGCCAGTCACGGATGTCCCATGCTTGGACTGGCGCGTCGGGCTCAGTCACCCGTTTCCATTCACGAAACGAATTTTCAGGGACATCTGGCAAGGCGTCGCCGCGGTGCCATCGTTGAGGATGTCCTGGAGTGTATATCCGCACCCACTCCTGATCATGCCAGACTGAATATTCAAGCCATGGGTGCTGCTTCGAATCATCGATGTCCATGTCGAGGCAAGAGGCAAGAATTGTCGCGGGCTCCGATCCGGCTAGTAGATAAACAAGCGCAATGCACAACCATGTTCAACCAGCAACCAACAACCAAGCAAAATCATGCAAGTGCAAAGATCACCCTTATTTCGTACGCTGCGCTGCTCATGCGAGTCTAGTCTTCAGTGAGCTCGAAGACGGGACTCATCTTGTCTCGGCCACTGTCGGAAGGATTAACGGGCCGGTAGGGGTCGGAGACCCCAATCGTCTCCAATGATGTGCTTCCACGCGATGCACGTACTGGTTGATGAGGATGGGAAGCTAGACGTGCGCGAGCTGTCAGTTGTTGCGAAATCCCTTCCTGGAGACGAGTCAGTTCTTCAGTAGAGAAATCAGCTGCATCCGAGGACCTGAGAATCGTGTCTAACAGCTCTGGCGACATACTCAATGCCGCAGACTGCGTGGCCACGCTGTGATGATCGGGGGGATACCCTGAGTCAAATTCATGACCAGCGTGAGGGGCAGCGATTCGTCGGTAGCCCTCTGTGGCCCAGTCTCGTTTGTACCACATAGTGACTTGGGCCTGCTGTCCGACTGAGGCCTGGTTGGGTGCATAGAACTCCCTCCACTCTCTAAAAGTGTGCGGAGGAGGTGGATCATCATGTTCTTCTTGCGGCGTCCACGGTCCCGGATGAAAGATCTTGACCCACTGGGCATCTGGTTGTTGAGGGTCCGGGCACCATTCCAGCCACGCCATGACAACACAACCACGGAAAGACAAGTTGATAGGTGTACGGCTGCAGACAACAACAAGTGCAAGCAAGTCAACAATCATAATGCAAAAGACCACTTTTGTAACACTGTCCGGCGCCAGCATCATAGTCTGACTCTCCAGGGAGGCGAGAGCGGGCATCAGCTCTCAAGCGAATTAGATGATGCCGAGGAGGAAGTCATTCCAGCATACATGAGGTCCGGTGCGCCCGAAGCAAAAACTGGCCTCGCTATGCTGGGATGTGGACGACCCAGGCGTTGATACCCCCTGGTGACCCAGTCCCTGTAATACCAAGTGTAGAAGGTGGCGTAAGATACCGGTTGCAGAACCGTGCCTGTGGTTGTGCCGCCCGTGCTTTCCCGGGGCCAGTACACTTCGAAGTGGTGGACCTTGCGCCATTCCCGATAGGTGGTCGAGTCATCCGGGGCCGGTCCCAGGGTGTCTGGGGCTACTGGATGCCACTGACCCGGAACATAGATTCGAATCCATTCCACACTCGTTCCTGCTCGACTATGAACGATGTCATAGTCAAAATAACGAGGTAGGACCCATCGTGCTGCACCCTGCACTGTACTATTGAACATTTCAACCCAACAAGCTGCTCAAAGTTAGCACGGAAAGCGGCGGACACACTGAAACGACATGCACAGCACCAAGCAAGACAACCCAATGTGAGCACACATACAAAGCAAGCACAACCGCATCTTTGTCCAACATGCTGCTCAAGAATCAATCCGACTCATTCCAAGGATCATGGAATGGCGGCGGTGACGGTTCCCGCCACGCCCCATCCGGTACCGACGAGCCCACCGAGGACTCGACGTCCGCATTGACGAGCATCGCGAATCCCATGGATTGTACAGGAGGTCCAAGGCGTTGATAACCTCGTGTTTGCCAGTCCCGGTACTCCCACACGTGGTAGGACACATAGGCACTGGGCGTGGCTATAGGATCCATTGTAGTTCCACCGGTGCTGTCTTCAGACCAGTACACTTGGAAGTGATATGATCTGCGCCACTCCCGATACGTGGAAGCGTACAGTGGGTCAGGAACAGGCGCCTCATCGGGACCGGGCCTCCAAATGCCCGGAGAGTAAATTCGAATCCATTCCACTCCTCTATCGATCTGGTACTCGAAATACTGGGGGTTCATAGCAGCAATACGTGCTTGCACGACTGTTGAACCAATCGAAAGTCTGTGGCAAGGACACACATGCATTGCCAACCGCACATACACACTGAAGAGTGAGGCAACTTTTCAAACACAAGATGAAACGCAGCAACGAGGTCGGAAATGTCAGACTCCTCGCTTTCACTGTCGTTGATGTCGCGCACACCTGCAATGATAGTGACCTGGCCGTCTACGAGCACAAGGGGAAAGACATTTCCGTCCATGGCGCAGGATGGCGTGACAGTAATGCTTGCACGCCGCCGAGGGGGATTGCGATGGACGGCCTGCACGTTTGGAATAAAACACTGTAAAGGGCCGTCGAGATCGCCGCGGCGCCGAAGCTGATGCTGTCCGAGATCGTTTGGACGAGGGCCCTGGACTGCGTGGTTCTTCATCACGGGAGGGGTCACTGCTGTGGATCGAGCGGCGTGTGCGCTGCGATTTCGAAGAGGTAGGGCAGGATTGTCCACGAGGGGCTGAGATCGTGGGGCTGCGTACCGAGGGCATAAACTGTGGGTGAAGAATCACCGGTGGTGGTGGTGGTGGTGGAGGAGGAGGTGGAAGAAGCAATGGCAAACTTGGCGGGGGCGGAGGTGACGTAGTTAACCGTATGGGTCTGTCGAGTAGAGCCCCGGGTCCATGAAATTGTAACCACGTCGGCTGCGCTCCATGGGTCCAGGTAATGTACGTCTGTACAACTTGTTCCGACATGATTTGAGCAACTCAGGCAAGACATCACTGCATGTCAACGACATTGCACAACACGACAAGCAAGATTGAGTCACATGCGTCACATGCGAGCAAGCAAATATCATGTGATCAACAACGCGAATCGGACACACCGCCGCTGCGTATCATTTGGTCCATCAATGGTCGTTGCTGCATTTGTCGGGCATGTTGCTAGCCGCGAGCTTCAAGTTGTTGATAGACCTTCCATGCCTGCTTGACTTCCTCAATCGGCTTCTGAAGAAACCGCGCAATGGTCTTATAGGTGGGCCTGGAATCTTTATCCTTCTTCCGTCTCACCATTTCATCCAGCTCACCCTGTGTCCATGCCGTGAAAGGTTCACGGTACGCATTGCGAAGTGCAATGGTAAATTCTTGTAGAAGTTCACGAGGACCATGGACCACCGTCGGCGACGGCCGGAACGACGAGGCACCTGGATGCGGACGTATGGAACCATCAGAATCCGAATCAGGTGTCGTAGGCGTCGTTTGTCCTGGCTCTCGTCCACCGTGTATCGCGATAGGAGCAAGGGGACGAGGAGGTGGTAGTCGATCCAACATCGATTCGGGCCGAGCTCCCGGATTGTGCCGCTCGAGGCGGGGACAAAGCCTACCAGGTAGATGACGTGTCCAGCGGTCGACCCCGAATGCGTGCGGGTGATCGAGATCTGTCAGATGAGGGGTGCTCCGTGATGATGCGGGGCCGCAACCCATGTCTGGAGTTTCTTGGTGCTCTTGGGGTGACCACC